CCGTATTGCGGAAAAATACGTCCCCGAGCAATAATAACGACGATGCCAACAGATAGAGGACACTTCAACGGACACGACAGTGTCAATATCATGTACTTGGGGAGTAATATAGGGGGGTAAAACCAGCAATAAGTTGTGCGCGCGCCCGATAAAGTCTATTGCTGGCCGTATTGCCGAAAAATACGTCCGCGAGCAATAACTTTTACCCCCCCTAAATTACTCCCTAGGTACATGAAGTTGATACTGTCGTGTTCGTTGAAGTGTCCTCTATCTGTTGGCGTCGTCGTTATTATTGCTCGCGGACGTATTTCTCCGCAATACGGCCAGCAATAGATTTGAAAGGGCGCGCGCACAACTTATTACTGGTTTTACCCCCCTTATATTACTCCCCAGGTACATGATGTTGATACTGTCGTGTCCGTTGAATTGTCCTCTATCTGTTGGCATCATTGTTAATATTGCTTGCGGACGTATTTTTCGGCAATACGGCCAGCAATATATTTTATCGGGCGCGCGCATTACTTATTGCTGGTTTTACCCCCCCTAAATTACTCCCCTGGTACATGATGTTGATACTGTCGTGTCCGTGGAAGTGTCCTCTATCTGTTGGCGTCGTCGTTATTATTGCTCGCGGACGTATTTCTCCGCAATACGGCCAGCAATAGATTTGAAAGGGCGCGCGCACAACTTATTACTGGTTTTACCCCCCTTATATTACTCCCCAGGTACATGATGTTGATACTGTCGTGTCCGTTGAATTGTCCTCTATCTGTTGGCATCGTCGTTATTATTGCTCGCGGACGTATTTTTCCGCAATACGGCCGGGAGTAGATTTTTTCGGGCGCGCCCACTACTTATTGCTGGTTTTACCCCCCCCCTAAATTACTCCCCAGGTACATGATGTTGATACTGTCGTGTCCGTTGAAGTGTCCTCTATCTGTTGGCATCGTCGTTATTATTGCTCGCGGACGTATTTTTCCGCAATACGGCCGGGAATCGATTTTTTCGGGCGCGCCCACTACTTATTGCTGGTTTAACCCCTCTTATATTACTCCCCAGGTACATGATGTTGATACTGTCGTGTCCGTTGAAGTGTCCTCTATCTGTTGGCATCATTGTTAAAATTGCTTGCAGACGTATTTTTCGGCAATACGGCCAGCAATAGATTTTATCGGGCGCGCCCACTACTTATTGCTGGTTTTACCCCCCTTATATTACTCCCCAGGTACATGATGTTGATACTGTCCTGTCCGTTGAAGTGTCCTCTATCTGTTGGCATCGTCGTTATTATTGCTCGCGGACGTATTTTTCCGCAATACGGCCGGGAATAGATTTTTTCGGGCGCGCCCACTACTTATTGCTGGTTTTACCCCCCCTAAATTACTCCCCAGGTACATGATGTTGATACTGTCGTGTCCGTTGAAGTGTCCTCTATCTGTTGGCGTCGTCGTTATTATTGCTCGCGGACGTATTTCTCCTCAATACGGCCAACAATAGATTTGAAAGGGCGCGCGCACAACTTATTGCTGGTTTTACCCCCCTTATATTACTCCCCAGGTACATGATGTTGATACTGTCGTGTCCGTTGAAGTGTCCTCTATCTGTTGGCATCGTCGTTATTATTGCTCGCGGACGTATTTTTCCGCAATACGGCCGGGAATAGATTTTTTCGGGCGCGCCCACTACTTATTGCTGGTTTTACCCCCCCAAAATTACTCTCCAGGTACATGATGTTGATACTGTCGTGTCCGTTGAAGTGTCCTCTATCTGTTGGCATCGTCGTTATTTTTGCTCGCGGACGTATTTTTCCGCAATACGGCCGGCAATAGATTTTTTCGGGCGCGCCCACTACTTATTGCTGACTTTACCCCCCCTTTCCAATTCCCCAGGTACATGATATTGATACTGTTGTGTCCGTTAAACTGTCCTCTATCTGGTGACATCATCGGTTTCATGTTACGCGGTCGCATTTTGCCGCAAAACGGCCAGCAATAGATTTTAGCGGGCGGGCGTACTACTTATTGCCAAGTTATTGCCAGGTTCACACAAGTGGATGACAATAATTTCAAACAAAGCCTTGGCCTTAACACCTACCTATGAGACAAAGTTTAACCAGGAAATGTTAGTTATTAGCTAACTTAACTTACTTTTATATTTATGATTAAAAGCCAATGTAAAATGGTGTTTAGCGTTCTGTCGAAGAATAGGCTTCAGTAAATAAATAGTCTAGGGGTTTAAATTAAATATCTTTACAGCAGGTGGACGAGCCATTTTAATAAACTTATATAATTTAATACTAACTTAAAGGAGGTAGGCCTATACTCAATAGTCTATTGAAGTAAGTAAAACCTTCAATAACAGGTAGCATACAAAGGTCTGTGGTATGTACACCTAGGCCCTAGGTTACCTTTAGGTCTAAGATTAATTAAAAAACTAATTAGGCCTAGCAGTTAAACATCCTATCAAACTAGCCCACTTAAGATTTGTATGGATTTCTAAACCAAAACTGCAAAGGGAAATGAGAAGATAAGATAAAGAAAAAGTGCTTACAAGCCTGAGGGGTATAGGTAATTTCTAACAAAGTAAACGTCTATCTTACCTTTGAATTCGTATCATTTTTAATTTGTGTGATTATTTTTTATGGTTTTAAATCCTAAACCGTATTGAGTTACACATGAACAGGCCTTTCCAAGACTCTAAAGTTCCTATTTAACAATTAAAGACACACGCCGGCAATATCTCCGAACTCGAAATCGAAAACGCTCCCTTGTTTTCTTAAATTCTTTCTGCTATTTTCCTTTTACAAACGAGCTGGCTGCTTCTGCTTGGCCGAAAATGCTGAGATCTCTTGTTTTTTCATGAATTTCTCGAACAGGGAAACAGCACTAACCTTACATTGCATTAAAGACCTTTGATTATAGATTCCTTTATTATGTCCCTTTATTGAATAGCAGGACAATTCTAATAATTATCAACACTATTGACGCTATAGGTTGATTCTAAACTTAAGGGGAGTCTAAGTTCATTTAGTCTTAGAAAAAGATTTACTGCTGTTAAAGTAAGAAAAAAAGATTTTTACATACTTTTTGAAGTTTTTAAAGTTTTTTGGGGGAAAAAATTGCTGTTTTTTAATCTCTTATAACTATTAAAGTATAACAATTAATTTATAGTATAACAAATGTGTGGTAAAAATTTCATTCATATAGCTGTAATAGTTAAAAAGTTATAAGAGCTTATATATAAAAAAAATTTAAGTCGCGGAAAACAGCGGTTTGAAGTTTATACTAGGCCTAGTTGATGCCCAAAAGAGGTGTGCACGCTTCACTTCAAATATTTTTTTCACAGTGATAAAAATATATATTATACCAAATGTTATGTTTTTCTGAAACTTTAACCATAGAACAAAATAAAAAAATAACAAAAAAATCATGTTTTTTACAAAATTGGTAATTTTTTAGTAGCGACTCCCCTTAACCTATATGAACCGTAACCGAACCAAACATAAAATAAGCTAGTTTTACAATTGGATGACAATTTACTTGCACTATGCAAAAGTCAATAGTTAAGTTATACTAGATCTTACACTGATTAGTAGTACCATTTAGTGGTAAACTTTAATACTTTAATCATTTTCTTTGAAATGGCAACCATGTGAATGTTGTACTTTGAGCGTAATAGAAGGCGAGCATAATATATCAACCCTAACCACGCGCGCAGGGGAGGTGGCCGTGGCAGGGGTATGACATGCCCCCACGTACAATAAGTTTGTCATAATTTTACAAGTTTGGTGGCAAACCTGGTGAGCATAACAGCAGCTTCTAGGAGTATGTTTATCATGATAAAACATAGTCCCTTATCTATGGTTTTATCTTTGCTTCTAGCTTCTAGCTTCATAAATTAGCATACCATCATCTGGCTCAGGGTTGTTAGGCTTGACCGAGTCATTGACCTGTTATCACCACCCTGGGGGATGACATCTATCATTAAGTTTAACAAATAAGCCTACCTAGCTTTGCTGCTACAGGGAGGGTCATAAAGTGTGTTTTTAGTAAAATATCACTGTAATAGCTTAGTATAAAATAAATAAATTTTATTCAATTTTCATCATAACCATAAACAGGCAAACTATGACAGTTTATCACTTATTTTCCATAAGAATAACATGGGAATTTTAAATTTAGACAATATTTTTTGAATTTTTCTCCTTAACCAACAACCGAAAAAACACTTCGATATACTAAATTATTTGGGGTTTTTAGCTCTTTAAAATGGTTTGGATAGAAATTGGAAGATTTTATTATTTGAGGGTCAAAAATTAGGAAACCCAATTTTTACCCCATGAAAGCCCCCATATTAAACCCCGTTCATGCTGGTTCGCGAACTCATTCAAGTTTATCCTGCCCTACATCTTTAATCAAAATTTCATCAAAATCAGACAAAAATTACTCAGTATTGCGTTTACGGACGTATAATATATATATTTGAACGATAGTGTTTTTGACCTTTAGGGACATCGAAATAAAAAAGTATTCTCCTACGTGACAGAGCGTACTCCTAGTATTGTTGTGATTCTGGCAATATGTTGAGCAAATTCATGGTATATTGTCGATGTTCGAGCAATATTTTGAGCAAAATTTACCTAAAATGTAAACAGAAAACATTAGACATAAAAAGAAAGTATTAAAAAAAATATCACCAGAAACTAAAAAAAAATTCTACCCCTTCATATAATACTTTTATTTATCCAATGAATATGACTACAAAGTATAATGTTGAGTTATTTTATGGTTCACACAATTCAACCCTCAATAGTTGAATTTCTCCAGAAACTTAAATGTTTTATGGAGAAAACAAAACTGTTTGAAGTGACTTGGATTGTTTTTGTAAATTCCAGTTTCATCATGTTAGTGGTGAAGTACACGAATAACAGATGTTGCACAAGCTGTGGTATAATTTGTTTCATGACATCTCATCCATCATTCTACACTTAAATGCTCATGAGTGTTGATGCGGTGTAGCATTTTTGGTGACATTATCTAAACCATTTTACCATTCCAATACGTTCTGTAAAGTATCATAGAGTTCACAGTCTTTTTCAACAAAATGCGCCTTGTGGTTTTGGTGAGTATGATATAATATTTTATTTCTATTTGTGAAATATCATGTTACTGTATTTTTCCGAACTAAACGGTATCTACAATTAATTATACCACCGTATGCTAAAAGTTAGAAACGTAGTACTAACCCCCGGTACTTACCGGGGGACCAAGCCTTGCTCGGTTGTGGTTAATTCTGTTTAGTAGTTAAAATAATACCATGATCAGACACATTTGATCGTTTACAAAAATAATTTTATTACAAACCAAAAGCATTTAATCGCTGAGACATTTAATCGTTTGTGTGTCTAATGTCACCCACTTCATAGTTTAGCATTTAGATTATTTATACAGTAACGTAAGAAATTGACTTGACTTGAGTAATAACATTTCATTTTAATATTAACCAAAAAACATTGACTTGACACTCCTGCTCAAGATAATCTGTCTGTTGTTCATAGTTTTGCACGGCCATAAGATCTGAAATTATTTATCTCCTTTTATTCTTCGATGCGCAACTTGGCCGAGGTTTTGGAGAAATTTGGTGAGATGTATGAGCTGGTTGGAACTGGCTTGGTTATCTATGGTTTTATCTTTGCTTCTAGCTTCTAGCTTCATAAATTAGCATACCATCATCTGGCTCAGGGTTGTTAGGCTTGACCGAGTCATTGACCTGTTATCACCACCCTGGGGGATGACATCTATCATTAAGTTTAACAAATAAGCCTACCTAGCTTTGCTGCTACAGGGAGGGTCATAAAGTGTGTTTTTAGTAAAATATCCCTGTAATAGCTTAGTATAAAATAAATAAATTTTAGTCAATTTTCATCATAACCATAAACAGGCAAACTATGACAGTTTATCGCTTATTTTCCATAAAAATAACATGGGAATTTTAAATTTAGACAATATTTTTTGAATTTTTCTCCTTAACCAACAACCGAAAAAACACTTCGATATACTAAATTATTTGGGGTTTTAGCTCTTTAAACTGGTTTGGATAGAAATTGGAAGATTTTATTATTTGAGGGTCAAAAATTAAGAAACCCAATTTTTACCCCATGAAAGCCCCCATATTAAACCCCGTTCATGCTGGTTCGCGAACTCATTCAAGTTTATCCTGCCCTACATATTAACCAAAAAACATTGACTTGACACTCCTGCTCAAGATAATCTGTCTGTTGTTCATAATTTTGCACGGCCATAAGATCTGAAATTATTTATCTCCTTTTATTCTTCGATGCGCAACTTGGCCGAGGTTTTGGAGACATTTGGTGAGATGTATGAGCAGGTTGGAACTGGCTCGGTTGTAGACGAAGAGGTAAAATTAGTCTCCTGTCGATCGATTGTAGCTTCTCTCCCTTTCAAATTATATTCTCTTCGGAGGTCTTCCGCGTTTCATTCATGATCTTGAAAATTAACCTTGAAAACATTTAACAGTGATATGTATCTAATAAGCAAAAAGTAAATATAAATACTGTATTCTCTAAAACGTTTAGTCATATACAAAATGCATTTTGTACTCGTGTTATACATTATACTTTTCCTACAGTTAGGGGGCCTACTATATAAATCATATAAATAATAAGTCTTTCAAAGGCAGTACAACACGTTTTTATGTTAGGTTAAATCCAAACATTGAACAAAATGGGAAACTCTGTACCAGCTGATCGTAGTCGTAATATGTTTAAGTGTTGCCAACTTATTTTCAAGCGTACACGGATTACGTGTATAATAAAAGCACGCTGTTTTGTGTTGTTAGGTTGGAATACTGGTGTGCACCAGTGCACTAAAGTAAAAACCGTGCGCAAAAGTAAAAACTGTGAGCCAAAGTAAAAACTGTGAGCCAAAGTAAAAACTGTGTGCCAAAGTAAGGCTTTTTGTACTATAATCTATGCAAGAAAATCCACTTTGTCGGATGACTGTAGGAAAAATGTTTTGCTCATGTTTTGCTTAAAATGTTTTGGTGTGGTAGAACCTACATCTCGATTTTTTCAAATTGTTGTAAATATTAAAAAATTGATGCAGTAAAACACACGTTTTTAAATTTCAAACCATAAAAATAATGTAAATATTTTCATTTCACATCTATGGTATATAAAATCCAATGTATGTTTGTTTGTATGTATGTTTGTTTGTTTGTCCTTTATGGACTGCGAAACCGCACGACAGATTGTAATGAAACTTTCAGGCATTATTAAGCATTATTCAAGGATGGTTTGTGTGAAGTTTGGTGCAGATCCGTCAAAAGGGCTCCGCCCCAGTGGCTCAGGAGATTCCCATGTTAGGCTTATGAGTACTCATATTTAAATGGAATTAAAGAATCTTAACAGCTGGTTCAACTTAGCAATTTGATTCTGTGATGTTCAGTAGCATTAAAAAGTTGATAAGTTTGATAACAGGGTGCAGCACGATTATTTTTTTTTAATTTATGAGAACAGCTAATTTGTGAGTGAGCGTAGCGAACGATCTTCAACCTGGAGGCGAGTTAGCGTAGCGAACGAGCTAACTTGAAGGCAAGTGAGCGCAGCGAACGAGCTCCACCTAAAGGTGATTGAGCGTAGCGAACAAACTTCAACCAGGATCTTGAAAATGAACAAGCATTTGACATAAAACCACATTAAGACAGGACGACGTCTGTCGGGCCAGCTAGTAGTAAAATAAAACCAGTTGTTCCCTTAGAGCACATTCAAAAGTATTCATGTGTTCAAATCTAAACAAATATTTTATCCATAACGATAACATGGGAACTTTAAAAGCCACTGGGGCAGATACCAGATGGAATTTATCGAAAACACTTCTTATTCTAACTTCTAATTAAGAAACTAATTATTTTACTGCACACCTAGAGGTTAATTGCAACCTCCAAGCCAATTCCTGAGTTTTTATGGCTTGCAGTTTCTTGAGTAAGTTAGTAGTATTTGACTTTTAAAAGTATATAAAGATTATTGCAAGATTTACAAAGAGTTATTCGGAATGATTAGGATCTTGTTGTCATCACCCAGTGGTAATTCATAAAATAAATATAACTAAAGGCTATACGTTTTTGGAATTATAAAACATGCAATCAACTACTGGTTTAATTTACTCCATTTCTTTCACAGGTAGCATCTTTAATATGGTTTGATCCGAGTGAGCAAACGTCTCCAAAAGAGACGATTTCCTCAATCGCCACTTCTCCAAAAGAGACGATTTCCTCACTCGCCACTTCTACAAAAGAGACGATTTCCTCAATCGCCACTTCTCCAAAAGAGACGATTTCCTCATTCGCCACTTCTACAAAAGAGGCGCTTTCGTCAGTCACTGGCTCCGTTAAGGGCTCAATAGACAATTTCAAAATCAGGAACGACATTGTAACTACTCACGACGAGTGTGAAGAAATAAGAAATCCGGGACATGTGGATAAAGCACTTGAAGTCGCAAAACACACAGTCTCCCAAATGAGGAAGGAGAATAAGGAAAAACTCAAAGATAAGAAGAAAGGAGAGTTGGAAGAATGTATTAACAAGTTGAGAGAAATGGTTACAAAAGCGTGGAAGGATGGTGTGATAGAGATAGAAGATAAGACCAATCACTGCATTAATGGATGGGGTACATTTAAGGTACATAATACATTACAAAGTCATCACGTTGTACTTGTTAAAATAAACTTGCCGTGCAATCCCATAGACGGGGAAGAGTCAGCCAAACCAACAGAAATTGGTAAAACCTCAGAAACAAAAACACCTACGGATAAGGACAGAACGACCGGAACGGATGAATCCGCGGACAAAGACGAATCTAAGTAACCTTACTCAATGAAACAGATACTCCATAAGGAAGAAATCAAGATTAGAAAACTTTCGGATAAAATTATGTTCAATAATATTTCTAAAAAGTAAATACTATGGAACCCGACTCTGATTTTCGATTTGCCTGTTCTACAACAATAATGACGGTAGCAGCCAACAGACACATACTTTTTACGCTTCTTTAAAAACATGTTAAAATTTTTCAATTGTTTTTATGAAATGGAAAGGGGGTTATTTACGGGAAAATAACTGCTAAAAGTGAAATCAAAATTACGCCTGGTGGTAATTAAATTAAAATTGGACCACAGTTGTATTCTATCGTTTTGTAAATTTACACATCCATACTTACGGAAAATAGACATGGCTTTGAAAATATTTCTTTTAGTGTAGGGAGTTGGAAATATTAAACGTGGATCTGTGGTTAAAGTTTTCAGTTTTTATTCATAAAATGAAGGCCATTGATCAGAAGGTTTCTTTTTATGTCATACGCATTCAAATTAACATCAATTAATTACTTGAAAATGTCCAAAAAGTCAAAGAAATACAAGTTTGCTGTGTTGGTTGTCTGTCTCTAAATATGTACTGTTATGAGATACGCCATCGCTCCTTAAACAAAACCATAAGCGCAACGGGGCGTAAAGCCCAATACGAATACAAATTAACCGTCTGAAAAGTCTATTGTTTGAGCTATCACATTGATTATACACTAAATGATATCTAACGTAGTTTATATAATTAGGCTATTCAACTTAGACGGTTTTAACGGCTACAATAAAACTTATTTATTAAAAGAATGGTAACCAATTATTAGTCATTAGTTTAGTTGGTTTATTAGTCATTTAAACAATATGTATCATCACAAAGTATGCACAATCCATATTTTCGTCATACTGCAGCAAAAACAGCCGTTTTCAAGCGTGCGTTGCGGGTCTAAAGTAGCATTTTTACCCCCTCGTTTTTAGCCCATAGGAAGTAAAAATCAGCTGTTGTCAACTCAGTTGTAAATTTAGATTGTAAATAATTTAATGTATCTCAAGTTTGTAACGTTTTTTAATCGATTGCAGTTAACTTAATTATTGCCCGCTTATTATAAATAAAATTAGAGTTTTGTGTGTACATTGCGTAGAATCATAACTGTTTCGGTTATTTCATTTGATACGATAGGAAAACCGAAACGCGTGTTATCTTAATTTCTGTCTGTCTGCCTGTCTTTCTGTCCGTCTGTATCACCCAAAGATGGCATTTTACGCTCTCTTCTCCGGGAAAACGACAAAACAGATTATGATGAAACCACTTATATGTATTTTCTACATGCATGAGAAGGTTTTTAATAACTTGAAACGTGTCTACATCCATTGGTAATACAATAACGAACACTAAAAACCCCAGTTTTGTGCGGTATTAGACTAATTTTGTTTTAAGTTTTACCATACAAGTCAAGTGATCTATTGTAAATGAGATGATATCAGCGGTTCCTGGAATATTTCACACCTAACACAAAACTGTGGAAATCTTGATCTGCGATAATATTTAACATGTTTTAACATTATACTATATACAATTTTACATTTTATCCCACCATAATGGATTTACGTACTTAGGAAGTTGCTATTCTCAGTAAAGACAGTAAATGGTTTTTGGGTTATTTCTTATGTAATGTAACAAAATCGTAAACAGGGTAAAATCTACAGAAATTGCAACCAAACATATTACCATGCTAGTCAAAAATAATTCTCTAGTTTATTTTAGGATAACTTGTCCTTGAGATAATGTAACTAAATAGAGTCAAACAAAGATTATTATACTTCTTGAACTTTATCCTTGAATAGCAGTGATAAAAAAAGTAAATAGTCAATAAAGCAAGTTGGGACAGTTCTTACGTTGAGTGCATTAGTCCATACCAAATAGGAGGTGTGGTTTTATTGGTGATAAGGAGGGCAAAGTCTTTGCCTTGTAGTTTAATATCTCTATAAGGATTTGAGAGCTTTTTCTCTAGATGAACATTGCATAGTAAACATTGTATTCAGTGGATGTAAACTCTATGTTTTGACAAAATAAATTAGCACAGCAATTAAATTAGCGCACATACTGTCAGCCTGTAAATGTGTACTCTGATCTAAACAATATCAATACTGAAAATCGATTACACTCTTCAACTCATATGTTATAACGTTAACTTGGATATATTCGTAAATGCTGATTGCATATAATCTTTGACTTTGATACAACTCCCATCCTCATGGCTGTATTGTTGTGAGCCACCGACCGATTGTGCTGATGTAGTGTGATGTAATTAAAGTACAGCACAGTACTGATTTCTGTCGAATACACACTCTATTTTACCAACTCAAACATATCGAAAGACATCCTGTGAGCTATGCCAACTGATGTCAGCAAACAAAACATTATGTAGAAAACATCATTTGTGTCTTACTGCAGCAAAAACAGCCGTTGCGTTGCGGTTCTAAAATTGCATTTTTCTACTCTGGAGTAAAAAGCGTTTTTAGCCCCTAAGGAGTAAAAATCAGCTGTTGTAAGTGGTTGTAAGCTCAGTTGGATATTTTGATTGTAAACAAAACTGCATGTATCGATTGTTTAATCGATTGTAGTTAATTGTTGCTTTATTGTATATAGTTCGACATATTAATACTGTAGTATAATGTATACCTACTAACACAATCGTAATAGACAAAACTATTGAATCACTTAGGCTACTAAACAGCTGCTTGTTTCCATTAGCAAATTAAATTGGAAACAGGGGCCCTATTTTTGAACTGGTTGACAGTTGAGTCAACACTCAACTCAACCAACAACAGGATTTGGTATTTTTGAAATCCAACAGTTTGGAAGTGAGTTAGGATCACTAGTTGAGTGACTCGTTTTGGAAATATAGGTCATAGGACCGCACAAAATTCAGATGACGTCATTTTAAACCAATCACAATGCAGAGTTCTTGTGATCTTCAATTTTACCTCTTCTTACTCTAAAATTTGGATCAGCTAATCTCAATGAGGAGGTAAACTGTCAACTCCGTTCTTGAGAGATTGAGGTTATGTCTTGCTTAGATTGCAAAAGTACCTTATATAAACTTAAGTTATTAACAATAAAATTTACTATGGATGTTTGTTTTATGGTGTAGCTCATTATAAGTTTAGGCATATCCTAAATATATTATTATTTGCTTTCTTCGTATCTATTTCAGAACACATCACCTTATTTTAGCTTCCTTCATCGTTTTGTTTCATGTTATTTTTAATTGTGTCTTTATTTAGGTTAATGCTTATGGCTATTTGTCATTGCATTGAAAGCTTATCGTAACTTAAATTAATTTGATCCCTTTATTAGGTGTATGATATTGTTTCTCTCTACCACAATCTTTAATGCCTTAAATCATAGGTCTAATAACAATAATTATCTTTTAATAAGTTCAATTACTATCCCTAGTCTCATTCAAACATACCAACAAGGATAAAACGCTTGATTAAATGGTCTAGTATTGAGACAGTAAATAAAATTAAAATGCAATTATTCTACAGAAACAATCGCATAAAGTATTGGGTGCTAAGACATTGACAACAAATACATGACCTCTACATCGCAATTTTAGTAAATTAAAGCAATAACAATATGGCCTTGACTCAAAAAGAGCAATTTTTTTGCCGAAAGAGAGGAAGAAGAAAACGCAGTCAACCTCCACTCGAGCAAGAGCTCGATAGGTGTTGAGTAGTTTTGGTTGGATAAGTCCACCGTCAATCGTTTCAAAAATACGAAACGATTGGAAATAGAATGACTCAACACTCAACTCAACAGTCAACCATTTCAAAAATAGGGCCCCAGGTTAGAAGTAGTTTTGAGAGGTTATCTTTAAATGAAAACTATTTTAGTTTTGTAGCATAGATGGGATATCTACTCAAGTATCCAATTTTAATCAGTTTTGCATCATCAATTATCAATCACTAGTTTACATTTTCTCGAAATCGAGCAATTGCAATTAAAGTATTACAGGAGTTATTAAAAAACGAATAACAGTAATAAATTCCGACGAGTTTAAAAGAGTAAACTCAACGATTGTGTAACTCATGGAAATACTCACGATGTTCAAAACAGTCATGGCCACCTTTAACTCCAGGCCGAGGCAACGTTGCAAGAAAATAAATAAATAAAATGCCCATAAGATAACATGGCAGACAGGTGACACCAACTCATTAATTCGAGTATTATTCATAGAAATTTTAATTTATTAACATCAATTTCTTAAAAGATTGAAAATAAAACATATAGAGTTTAAATCCAAAACAATATTTAAATTGAAAATCTAATTTTGTACTTTTAAAGTGGAGTCAACATTTTCATAGACCAGTAAGTTACAAAGATTTCGTATTCTTAAATAAACGGTACCAGCATTCTGACACATACTTTCTCCCATAAGCTTGTCAACAACCTTTATCATGGATAAGCGGTGAGAGTAAATATTATATTTTTATAGTTAAAAATTCCAAAAGTGTCAATAACTTTGAACCATAATAATTGTTATAGCAATAGTTGTACTATTTTTTTAGAATTATAAGGACCATAACATATTAATTTTGATTAAAACCAGATTTTCTCCAAAAATCCAATTTTGTGTGTGTTATTTTATGTTTTTTTCCTATGGGAAAATAACATAAACTACAATAAATTTTGAACCGTAATTTTTATGGAAATGGGATTTGTACAATTTTTTCAGAATTTAAAGGACTATAACAGACTTTTAGAAAATCATTTGGGCCATTTTCGAGAAAAGCAGATTTTTCCGTAATTTTATGGGAAAATTCCATTAAAATCAAAATTTCAAAAAAAACTTTCCAACATTTTTAGAGCCATAACATATACTAAGTTAAATCAAAACCGGTTTTTTCTAAAATCCTATTTTTTGTTATTTTATGGTTTTTTATGTGAAAATAACATAATTTACAATAACTTTTGAACCGTATTTTTTACAGAAATTGGAGTCTTACCATTTGGTTCAGAATTTAAAGGGCTACAACATTTAAAGCTGTATAAAACTCGTTCGGGCCATTTTTGAGAAACCCCTATTTTCCGTTATTTTATGAGTTTTTATGTTAAAATCAACATTAAAAATAAAAATTTCGAAAAAATAAAAAAAAATATCTGTAGATACCATGCACACACCAAATTTAATCGAAATCGGACCACAGGTGTACTTCGGAAACCACTTTTTTGGGTCCAGGGGGGCCCAAAACGGATATATCCACTCAAAACTCAAACTCGAAAATTTTGACGAAAACAATAAGTTCTCCATAATACTATGGTATAGGGGGAGAAAGTAAATGTACACAATTATACTATTGGCTGCCTTTAACAAAACGGCTGTTACAACACTACTCGCGACTTGCGATGTTGCGACTTCGAAGGCCGCGGCCTGAAGGTAAAGGTGGCCGTGATAACAGTTCGATATAATCAACATTTTCTTGTAAATATTTTATTATTTTTCAAAATCTAATCTTGTTTTTTTAATGTTTTCTACAAATGTTTCCCACTCATAGCCACATTAGGTTGACCATGTTATCTTCGTCTTTGACAATGCAGCCTGCATGGTACCGCACTTTGTCACCAACGTTTACAAATTTCAGTCATTTTTTTTAATAGCAATGCCATTTTTTCACATTATTTTTTACTTAAGAACTTTCTGATTTCCTGCATAAACTGGCTTAAAATACCTACATTCGTTTGGTCGCCATTCAAGAATAAATTATATTTAGTAAAGTATAAAGTTACAATTTTATTTTGGTGGATCGGATTATGGGAACGGGGTTTATGGGGGTAAAAATTTGTTTTTCTCATTTTTGACCCTCAAAACATAAAATGTCCTAATTTCCTTAAAAACTATTTTGAAGAGCTTAAAAAATAGAATATTGAAGTGGTTTTACGGTTACTGGTTACAGAGGAAAAACCTGGGTCTTAAACGGACAGTGGTGGTGGAGTTAGTAAAAAAATGGGTTCCAAAAGTAACTTCCTTAGTATGGAACCATGACTCACTTCAAAGTTCAAAAGAAGACAAAACTGGAATTTTTATCATTTAATTAGATTACTCTTACTCTATATTAGGACGCACATTTGTTATGTTTGTTGATGGAGTAAAACTGAATTAATTAACAGTAAAAACTTTCTATAATCAACGTTTTAATGTATGATCAATTTTTTAAAACAAACCAACAAACTGAAAAAAATTTGTCAATAGTCAGAGTGGTGGGTGGCATCACTGCTGTCAACATTTTATTATCAGTTACAGTTTGTTGTTGTTGGGCAAACCTGGTAAATAAATAGACAGACGACTATTTTAATGTCATTTTCTCTGTGATTAGGTTCAGTTCAGTGAACCGTCTTGACCAGTATTATTAAGTTTAATTTGTCGTGTAGTCTATTTCTTCCACAAGGTAAGTATTAAAAGGAATAATATAATAGTTTAAATTCTCAGTTAATAAATACTCCCTAACCTTACTTTAAGGTTAACAATTAATTAACTAGACATTTTATTAAATCGGGTTTGCCTTTTTTATGTTAATGGATTTCAAATTCAAATAAGCCTACATGTCTTAAATGATTTAAAACAACTTACACTAAGTTATATCTTATTTTAGGTTTTAATACAGTTTCCAAAAGTTAAGATTGGCTCCAAAAATATCAAAAATTAGCTTAATGCTAGGCCTTAATATCAGACAAAAACTTAGATGTATGCCTCAGTTGGTTTCTCACATGGACTGGTAATTGTAACTTACTGGGAATTATTTACAATCCATGTATGGTAACTTAATCCATACACATGTACAAAATTTTGCTTAATTTTGCTTAATGTGGTGAGATAAGATTTCCGCTTATGTTTTAGGCAGGAGGTGAAGTCTATGATTTGTTAGGATAACAGGAGGAGTTTAAGGAAGGGTCCCCATCATAAGGTCATACAGAGGGTGCAGATTTTGGGCTAGGTTAGATAGTTTATGTATGCACTCCTCAACAAGATGATTCTAAGCTTAGACCTCTCTTAAACATCGAAACTTCGGAAATGTATTCTCTTATAAGATGTATTTAAGATAAATTTGTTGTAATGATTCTAAGTCAAACGATTCTTACAAGCACAACAAACTTACTTACCACCACAACCTCCACAATTCATTAGAAGTGGTAGGCCTACCTATATTATGCCTAAATTAAGTTTAAGGTGTTAGGCCTAGTGTCATAGGTAAGGTTTTAAGCAATGTGCATATAATGGTTAACAATAGTTCTTAACTGTTATTTAATTGTGAGCATTTATTGAAATGCCTCAATTTTGCTTAACCTATGTAATTCTCCTTAGAGGGTGTTAAGTTAATTGATTTACAGTCGTATTAATCTTGGATGTTCAAGATACGTTAAACTAAAAAACCTCGTAACTTTATATACCGTAACTTACCTAAGTTATATAGAAATCCAAGCTTGGCAAAGCTATTATTCAGTTTCAATGAGTTTTTATTGATATTTGTCTTGAACAGTTTTATTAATGAACACCAAAATCATACTAAAATACTTGTTTTACCCTTAAGTACGTTTAAATGATCATTCTGGTAAACAGAGCTACCTACCACCAGTCATAGAAAATTTACATCTAATAGCGAATTTCCCAATTAAGGAATAAGCTACCCAGGACCAATTTACTTTTTCGTTTTGATGTTCTTAGAGGCCAAAACACCTTCCATTCAAATTCACTTATATATATATATCTAATATATAAAATTCTCGTGTCACAGTGTTTGTCTGCAAACTCCTCCGGAACGACTTCACCGATCGTTATGAAATTTGGTGTGTAAATTCTGTAGGTATGCGAATCGGACGTAAACTATTTCCCGTTTCAAAATTCTTAAAAGGGCTCCGCCCCAGTGGCTCTGGAGTTTCCCATGTTAACCTTATGAGAAATGGAATAAATGAATCTTAACAGCTGTTTAAATTAAACAAGTTGGTTCTGTTCTATGATGTTCAATAGCATTAAAGTTACAAGGATTACCAACAGGGTGCAGCACTATTATTTCTTTTACATTTATGACAACAGTTAATTTGCAACCAAAAGGTGAGTGAGCGTAGCGAACGAACTTCAACCTGGAGGCGAGTTAGCGTTGCGAACGAGCTAACCTGAAGGCAAGTGAGCGCAGCGAACGAGCTCCAACCTAAAGGTGAGTGAGCGTAGCGAACGAGCTCCAACCCAAAGGTGAGTGAGCGTAGCGAACGAACTTCAACCTGGAGGCGAGTTAGCATAGCGAACGAGCTAACCTGAAGGCAAGTGAGCGCAGCGAACGAGCTCCAACCTAAAGGTGAGTGAGCGTAGCGAACGAGCTCCAACCCAAAGGTGAGTGAGCGTAGCGAACGAACTTCAACCAGGACGTGATTGAGCAATGCGAACGAGATCATCTTGAAAATTAAACGTAACGGTACTTTCTTTCCATCGGTCTGTCTTAGGGGAAACCTATAACTTAGGCGATACGAAGTTCGCCGGGTCAGCTAGTATATATATATATATATATATATATATGTCCGTTAGCACGATAACTCAAGTAAAAATGATCCGATTTTGATGAAATTTGGTACAAACATCTAAACCGATGTTTATTCTAACTATTTCACAAACCAGCATTGTCGGACTATGGAAATGGGGGTTTTATGGGGTTAAAATTGTTTTTCTAATTGTTGACCCTATAAATATAAAATTTCACAATTTCTTTCCAAACCATTTTTTTTTTGCCATTCTTATGGAGAATAAGTACCGGTAAACGCTTAGTTTCCTTCTCTATGGATATATTTTGATCTAACTTGTTCTTGTTGAACTTATTTATTTTAAAACTAAGTTATTGATAGTAAAAAAACACACACACACACACTTTATTCACAGTAACTTACTCCTTCCCTGTTGCAGCAAACCTAGGTACTCATTAAACCTAATGTTAGGCCTACTGTATTCAAATAGATTAATGTGAAATTCAAATCACGCAAATAGAAATTCGCTTAGTCTGTAGGTTTGCTGTGGCGGGGGTTATTTTAGATTTAATTTGTAATTTTATTTTTTTATTAATTTTATGTTTTTTGTATTTTAATGTTTATTGAATTCAGCTGTTATTTGCTTTGAGGATATTTCAGGAATAATTTGCTAATGCCCCAGGAATAGGCTTACAATAAATTTCCAAACCCTCTGATTGTACAGTATAGCAAAATAGAAGATGGTAGGTTATAGCACTGTATAGTACAGTACAAGTTTGTAGACAACTGCAATAACGTATGGCTTACGTTTTATTTATGCAATTAGCCTGATTACAATTTAAGTGTAATTTAGACATTTATTTGTCTGTTTTATTATTATCCTTAGACCTACTTTTTATTTTATTTTTTAATTTTGTTCGTGATATTTTTTCTTTTACAAAAATATCCACTGACCTTTAAAAATCCAAACTTATAATAACAATTTGAAAATGAACTGCCACTTTAAAAATCCTAGTTTAAATTATTCGAAATTTAAAAACTAGGTAGTTTATGAAAAAAAAACAAGGTCCTACGTCTTTCAGTCATGTAGCTAATCAAATTCAAAATCACACATTTTAGTCTAACGGGATGCTCAATAATAATTGAGTTATCAAATAAATTTAATTTGTGTGGGCTTGTGCATGAGTGAAATTAATGTAAATAAAAATTGTTACTAGTTTAAAGTGTATTGGGCATTGCTACAATAGGCCTAATTGTTATTCACCTCACAAATTTTGATTTTGGTAATAAATACTCTAATTTCAAATTTAATTATTAACTTAGTCTATAAATTATATTTTACGATATTTGACTTGAAATCGAATAGAAAATAATTGAACAGTTAAATTTAAATCCATAAAAAACCATCAGTGTGTTTTGGTAAATAAAGATATGTAAATTCCTAAAATTTCCATTTTGAAATTAAATGCCAAAATGGTGCCAAAAGGTTATATACCAAAATTATAACACTATTTAAATCTAAATAGAACTTATATGTTACTAAACTATTGAAACAAATTTGAAACTGCTACAATTTAATAATTATTTAATAATTGTTTTATTTTCATAACAAAAACTAACTATAGAACAGCATTACCAGCTAAATTCTTACTTTTAATTATTTTATTTTAAATTGAATGAAATTATTAAAAGTAAGAATTTAGCTAATGCAGTTCTAATTATTAATTAGCTATTTTATTCATTGTCATTGATTTTTTTTTAAACTTTCTTTGTTATTTATGAGAAAATTTGATATCAAATAAAATTAATAAAGACACGTGGTCAAACTTGTCCTTATCATTAAACGATGATTAACCTTTAGTCTCCTACTGTTAGTAGTCCAAGAGAAGGCTAAATTTAATACATTGCATCTTTGATGAGCCAACAGCTATCAAGGTCGATTACTCTGATTAATTCTGTTTTGGTTTATTAAGTTGCTGCTAACCTAAGTGTCCAGACATCATGAACGGTATGATTTATATTAACTTTATCAAACTGTGATTTTACTTGAGTTAAGACTCGTAAATAGTTTAGCAACTTGTAAATATTTTTAATTATTTTATAAGACATAGTTGATTACAAAATAAACTAAACTGAATTGTATCAATAGTTAAAATTGCTTTTATGGCAGACAAATAAAACCAAAATTGGAGCCGTTAACGTTATATATTAAGCATATTCTCTTGGTAGATGTGTCATGGGTCAACTGAAGTAAATTTTAATGTTAGTACCGACCGGTGTCTCTAAGGGCGTGTTTTTGTTTACAATTTGTTCTTGTTATTTTAGATATTTTGAAACTACACCTTTTCCACTTTTATTTCAGAAAGGGTCAATTGTATTTCAGAATAGTCATTTGTATTTCAGAAATGGCAATTTGTATTTCAGATGTAAGATTTTAATTTTAGAAAGTGTCAATTGTATTTCATAATCGTAATTTTAATTTCAGAAATCATCACTTTTATTTCAGAAATGGTCATTTATAATCCATAAATGATTATTTGCATTTCAGAAGATATCAATTGTATTTCAGAAATAATTTGTGTTAACAACTTTGTCATCAGCATTAGGAATTAGCTAAGAATTCGTTATGAGAAAAAACCTTTAGTTAGTATAATTTTTATATCATAGGATGAGATTCAACTCGGAAAAATATCTCATTAGGCCCTGGTCAAATCAGGAAAAAAACGTGATAAACTTTTCTAGGCTAACCTAATTAACCTAAACTTAACCCTGGGCTCCTTATAAATTAAATTTGAATCAGATCCGCTACGACTGTGTAAAATTGTCTAATCGATCATTTCTGAAATACAATTGACTTTGTCTGAAATGCATTTGACTAATCCTGAAGTATATGTGACAATTTCTGAAATACATATGACTACTTCTGAAATTCAATTGATGTTTTCTGATATAAAAGTTACTAGTCTGGAATGCAAATGATACTTTCTGAAATGAAAATGATAATTCTGAAATACAATTGATGCTTTCTGAAATAGACTTAACACGTTCTGAAATAGAATTAGAAAAGGTGTAGTTCAGACAAATAATACAACGATAATTATAAACAATAGCACGTCCACTGGTTTTATAACCACAAAGTAAAGGACCAATCTTAAAATGTACCAAAAAAAAAGAGAAACTAAATTTTGTTGACACTAGCACTCCGGTTCACCACATGAACCAGACATAAAAAAAAGCAGCTTAATATTTTACAATGGTATGAGAAGTCTACTTTTATTAGTTAGTCCATGACATTATGTTCAGTTGAATACATTCAGATTTCAAAAAATTCCTTTAGTTGAGGCACAAAAGATAGCCTAAGTAGACTCTCGCTCATCCGGACTAATGTGGCGGACGTCCGGTCCAGATTACTATAAATCCGGACTATTGAGAGTCAAGCAAATACAGTACTGTATATTTTACCTATGTGTTATCCTATTTTTTGACCATCCAAGGTAGTCTTGGTCCTGTTAAGCCCAGATAATCGGACTCAACTGTACTGTGCCACTAAAAAAATCACGATTGCCTATCCGGACTAGCGGGAGTCCGGACAATGCTGATCCGGATGAGCGAGAGTCTACTGTAGTTTGAAGTATGTAGGCATAAGCTCCTTTAATACAAGGTGTTGGCTGGTGTGTGTCAACGTCGGCCAGCTTGACTTGATTATACAACAGTGCCTTGGTGATAGCAGTACTAAAAGTGTAAACACAAACATTGCACAGCTGCTCTATTATGAGCAACAGCTGTTTCAGTAGGCCAAAACTGCAACGTTGCCACTTTTATCTTGCTGCAACCATGTATTAGAGGAGGCTAAGCTGTAGGCAGTACCATTGATTATGTGTACTAAAGTATATATTATTAGTCAATGGTAGTATGTAAGACATAATTTTGGATGTTTTGGGGATTTTGATGTTTAGATAAGTTGTTATCTTAATAAAAAAAAACTGTCATAAGTGTTTTGTAATTAACTCTTTTTTTATGCGTAAATTACTTTATTCAGAAACACTGTATGAAATAAATATTGTGTTTCCTAAATGAAACTTGTTATTTTACAGACATGTCTGGCGGTGAGGCTCAAAGAGAACCTCTCATAGCTGTCATAGATGAAGGGACCAAAACCATCAGATTTGTGGTTAGTATGATAATACTTGTAAGACTTTATTCTTTCTCAATAAACTCTATTCATTGTTCTGTATTTCCTAAGCCTTGAGGGACAATATAAAATTTCTGTTGGCCTATCAACTTTATTTCACTTATCGTTTACAGTTTTAGCTACATTATGATGCCAGTGACATAGTGGTAAAGCTAAAGCTTCACTCATCTAGTAAATCTACAGAACCTAGAAAAAACAGACATTGTAAAATAAATTATAGGCTAATTCTCATGTGAAAGGGTTGGTGACTTGATAGAGTATTTTATCGTAGTTTAGTTTTCTCACAGTATAATTCAACAATGACATGTTGTATACCCTGTTTATTTTCCATCGCATTAAATGTTTATTTTCCAGATAGAAATTGTATTGTTTAACCCCTTTGTTACCTAAACCTTCTGTTTCCAGGTGTTCTCCTCACAGACCAAGAAGGAGCTGGTGTCGCACAAGCTAGATGTGGTACAGAAGTGTCCTCAGGAAGGTTGGGCCGAGGAGGATCCTCAGGAGATACTATCGGCTATACAGCAATGTATAGAGCATGTGACGGATGTCATGCCTAGCATGGGGCTGCGGGTGAGCGACATAGCGGCCCTCGGCATCACCAATCAGCGAGAGACCACGGTCGTCTGGGACAGCGAGACTGGCGAGCCGCTTTACAACGCTATCTGTAAGTGGACTTGTACAATTGACAGTTCAATTATCAATCATCAATTGTTTGAGACAGCAACCCACTCTTGGATGCATGTTTCAAGCTGAATTTACATACAAATTGAATATTGAGTGAAGTGAGATGATCTGTGTTGCGTTGTTACTGACTCAGACCAGCTGATTATTAGTCAGAATCATGTGTTAAAAGCGCAATGACCAAGAATAGCTAAGCCCAGTTTTTAACTAGCAAAAGTAACTGGCTTTTCTCAGGATTTAACCGGCATCCTGTGATTATTAGGCGAGCAGCATAACTGCTTGGCAACTCAGGCGATGTGTTCAGTAATGTCAGCGAAAGTAAGACATTCTAAATTTTGTACAAGATAAATTAGATAATATTTACTTGTGCCAGAGTGGGGTTCTTCCCATTTAGGTAAGCCTCCTATCCTAACAAAAATCCTTAAAACTCAATTCCTTGCGCTTATGTCACATTCATATCACTAGGTTGCTACAATAAACTGTTGATCCTATGTTACAGTGTGGTCAGACATCAGGACTGCTGTGACTGTTGACCACATCCTAGCCAAGCTGCAGGACAACAACAAGAACTACTTTGTGCCGTCGTGTGGTCTGCCCGTGTCTCCGTACTTCAGTGCTGTCAAGTTGCGATGGCTGATAGACACTATTCCTGCTGTTCGCAAGGCCATTAGCGAAGGACGCTGCCTCTTTGGAACAATAGACACTTGGATCACTTGGGTTTGTTGTTGAAAAGTGTTTACGTTTATGTTTGTGTTTGTATGGAAAGACAAGCAGCACGTCCCTCTGTGGCTACCATCCCTCGTGTAGATTATTGTATATTAGTTGTGTAACTGTCTAATTCAGATTTTAGGATTATTCAATTAATAAAAGAACATAAAAATACATCTAATGACAATTAATACACACTTATAATAATAAATTCACACTTGTACATTGACTCACAAGACAGTAAATAAATATAAAAGATGGTTTCGATTTGACCAATCATCCAATCGAAATCCATCACCTCTTACCATCTTTTATATTTATTTACCGTCTTGTGAGTCAATAGTAATGTTGTTCAAATGTTTATTGCAGACATTTTCTATCACGATTGTAAAAAACAATACACCAAAAGTAGCAAAAGCGTATTGTTTTTTACAATCGTGATGGAAAATGTCCGCAATAAACCTTTGAACAACATTAACTCACCATCACCAACAATGAACTTCAAACAGAGTATAAATGTTATTAGACATATTTCAATGTACTTTCAGTAAATTTAATAATACGTACAATGCTGATCAAGAAGTCATTTTTAGATTATGTGATTGTCTTGCAGGTCCCTTTTGTGTTAGAATTATCCAAGTTTATCCGTATTATATTAATTACTCTTGTAACAATTGTAACGGACTACATAGTTAATCTGCCTACAGTAGCTAATTCAATAACGCTCGTCTTTCCTCATATTGGACTTCCTCTTTCATAATTTTACAAGGCCTATCTTATCATTGTTAGCTTTGTAGTCGATAGTTTGTCCACACATGTCATCATGTTATGTAAATAAATACGACTTTGTCACAAGCCTGTAGGTTTTTGACAATCTTTTCCTCATAATCCAAGTTCATAGTATCACAACTATTTTTAGTTTTATCAGAAATATGTTTCATTAACTAATCAATGTTTGTTTTAACATAACTGTCAATTGAGGGATAAAAGTACAAAAATGAGTTTGGGGAAAAATCATTGAATTATGTGACGTTTGAGTTTAAGCAGAATATTTTCCATCAGGTAAAGTTAAACAAAACTTGTGTTCAACTAGTGACATAGGAGGAAACCATTGAGTTAGTTTTGAGGACTGTTTAAGATCTCTCTGAATTACTATTAGGTAATTTGATTAATTAATTTGATGTACAGATGATAATTTAATATTTTAGTTCTCGAAAGTAGGTTTGTGATGGCTTGAAACTGAACCTAGTGGCCCTTGATTATTGGGATTTTGCTAAAGAAACAATTAATTAGTCTAAGTAACAAGGCTACACATTATTCTAACATGCCTTGAATTAATTACTGATTCACAAGATTATCACTAAAGATTTATAGTCTTTGTTACGACTAAAGCTTTGACAAATAACTAGGAGTCTATTAAGGAATGCGTGTTGTTGATTGTTGCAGAACCTAACTAGAAACAATGGCGAAGCGCTTCACATCACTGATGTTACCAATGCTTCAAGGACAATGTTGATGAATCTGGACACACTTGACTGGGATCCATTGACTTGCAAGTAAGAAATTTTATAATTTGACACAAAACAATAATAACATTATTATTTTTTTACATTTATACTCTTATCAGCCTAGATAGTAGTTTATATGAGGTAATACTTCATATTTACAAGGCTAGATTTATCTTTTTTTTCTAAGATGCTAGGCACAAGCCCGGGATTGTTTTTTCACATTACTTCAGGCTAGACCTAGGGGTTGCGGCATTATCACTTAGATAAAATCTGTTAGTGATTTGACAGGATTTAAACCCGGGATCTCAGGAACCGAAGTCCCACACTCTAACCATTACACCAGCTTGCTTCCCATATATAGCCCTAGATTTACCAGTAGGGTTCATAGGACCAGTTCTAGGGGCACACCAAATTAAGAACACTAAGTTAATCAAATATTTTTCAAGAAATTTTCATTAAATATTATAAACTACTGCCATTGACTATTGGATACTAAAGTATTAATTGTATTGTATTAATATAATATTAATATTGTATTAATAGTCAAAGATGCTATAAACAAGTCTGCATCTATATACTCTTTATTGTCTAAGTTCCATTTGCCTCTCCATACAAATGATGGTGGATGAGCAAATTGTACACTTGTCAGTTAACTAGTGTTAGCTATGATGCCCAAAAATAGGAATAGTGAACCCTCTCATTATTTTAATTTGTGGGATTGATTTTATTCCCATTTGGATTAAAAATAAACAATTATCCACAAAAAGACCGTTTTGAGATCTAAATTCTTGCTCAATCATGGTGGTATGAAAAGAGGGTGGCAAAAATTCATAAAACTAGTAGTGCTTAAAATAAAAATTCGATCCGACGTCATCGACTCCAGCTGATTTTTATTTCCTAGGGGAAAAAGAGCTACCTAGGACCAAATCAAACACTATACAACATGTTTTTAGGTTAGGTTAAATCCAAGCGTTGAAGGAAATGGGAAACGCCGCACCAGCTGATCGTAATCATTGTATCTTTAAGTATTGCCAACCTATTTTTAAACGTACTTGTATTACGTGCCTGATAAAAGCACACTATTTTGTGCTGTTTGGTTGGAATACTGGAGTGCGGCAAACAAATTTGTGTGGCAAAAGTAAGTAAATGCAGTAATTAGCTACTTTGCTTCCTATAATCAAGGAATCCCACTTTGTCAGGTACGGTAACTATAAAAATAAGTTATTTTAGAACCAATTAGAGTGAATATTAATAGTGTTGTGTTAACTGTATGGTTTTGAACCCTGTTCTTGCATTTAACTGTTTATTTCATTACAGACTTTTAAACATTCCAATGGAAATCCTCCCGAAGATTTGTAGTTCTTCCGAAATATATGGAAAAATTGCCTTAGGACCGTTAAAAGGCATTCCTATTGCTGGGGTAAGGATAATACATGATTTTTCTCATTATGTTCATTTCTGAATTGTTACCTTTTTTAAACATTAGAAAAAATATTAAGGATGAATGCATTTTCAGGGAATAGGAACTTAATTCCTAAACTAGATGTGTCATTACCATGAACAAATGGCTCTTCTATAAGTTTAGCGTTCAAAGAACAAAATTTAGTTGATAGCAATAATTTCTGTAAAATTAGCAGAATTTAAGTGATATGTATAATCAATTTGAGTGAGGTGTAATTTAGATCTATAACGAGGTTGTTGTGATGATTCCATCATAGTAACTATAGACATTTCAGAAACAAAAGAACCCTGAGCCATTTCGAGCCGCATAGGTTTGAAGGGTACATCACATCTACCGGCGCGTACCACGTGATCTTTTCGTTTCTGTGCAGGTTGTTTTGTTCTTGGGATGTCTATACAATGCACGTGTAATCACTAAAATATCATACATGTTGCATTAGGCAGTGAGAGATTTAGATAACTTAAAAAAGTGTTCGTACTGTGTGATCTCTTTGTTGATTTTTCCTTCTGGAAAAGTATAAAACTCGTAACACTTCTCAAATTGTGTTGTTCTCACAGTTAAATGTTATCTTCAGCAAGAAAGATTTTGTTGATTGCTAATCTACTGATTTGTAGTTCTGGAATTTCGAGAAAAAGCCGGTTTTGATTAAAATTAGTATTTCATGGTCCTCATAATTCTAAACAAAATAGTGCAACCCCCCCCCCCTTCCATTGCTGTAAAAACTACGGATTAAAGGTTATTGCAACTATTGTGATTTTCCTTAAATATCATAGTTACTCCCACCGCTTAGGCGCTTACCCTGTCGCGTCTCCGCTGTCTGGTCTTCTGCTCCGGCGTCGTCACCAAGATTGTAGCTCAGCGTAGATGTCGACCTTCACCTTGTAATGGGTTATGAGGGAGTCTTTTAATAATACGCACGAATGCAATAAACTTGTATATTAACTGTTAAATGGGCTCACAAAAGATTTAACATTGACAAAATGAGTTAATCGAAACAACGTAAAAGTGTTTACTGAACAGACGCAGCATGCGTGTTGCCTGTTGCGCATCTCCCTCTCAACTGACTCTCGATCACGACTGCCCTTACTAGTTTTCATGCGCACTTTGGCCTACGCGCAAAAAAATAGTTCCAAACTCTTTTAAAAATTTTAAAATCTATATTGGATATTTTAGGCCCGTCACAACCCATGATAAAAGATGTTGAGAAGCTAATGGGAGAAAGTATGTGTCAGATTGCTGATACCATTTATTTTTTATAAGTTAATATTTTCTCACATATATTTTTTTGTTCTTTTTCTAGATTCTGGGTAACCAGCACTCAGCGCTGGTTGGTCAACGCTGTTTACAGATTGGACAAGCAAAGAACACATACAGAAGTGGCTGCTTTTTACTCTACAACACTGGAAACAAGGCAGGTTACTGTATGGTGATAGGCAATTAAGTTAAGTTATTCTCCTGTTATGCATCATAATAGAACTGAACGAAATTGTACCTACTGGAGTATTTTCCTAATGATGGTACTTAGAATTATTTAAATGGTTGTTATAATTGTAAAAACACAGGTATGGAACTATAGATTTCACCTAAATCCCCATAAAAAAATAAAGATACAGCTGTTCTTAGTCCGTAACATGTGTTACACACTCATCTTTGTCTGAAAATACGCACCTTGGTGAGTCGGAACTGTGCAAATCCAATTAAATCTTGTAATGTCCCTATTTTTCCTGAATTAACCAAAATTGGTGAAACCATATTTTATTTCAATCAAATCTCTTCACAGAAGGTGCACTCGACTCACGGCCTGCTGACAACAGTCTCCTACCAGCTGGGGCCGGACAGCCCTGCCACATATGCACTGGAAGGGTCTGTAGCAGTCGCAGGTACAGCGCTCCGCTTCCTCCGAGACAATCTGAACCTCATGAAGGACGTGTCCGAGTCAGAGGCTCTAGCGAAGGAGGTGCTGTCTGCAGGGGACGTCTACTTCGTACCTGCCTTCTCCGGCCTGTACGCTCCATACTGGAGGAAAGACGCTAGAGGGTGAGTTCAATCAACAATTGAGCAAATATTCCACTTTTGCGTTGTAGACAGTTGACTAGTTAGCATAGCTTTTATGAACACATTAAAGATAGAAAACTGTTTATAAAGTTTAATGTCTAAAAATTTTCAGCAACAACTACTTGGCCAACATTGGACATGAAAAACTCTATCTCCTACTCAAACTTCCCTTAGTTGAAAATGGTGGGCTATGATTTTTGTGAATAATACAGGTTTCAAATGAAAGAACAGATATTAGAAGTAGATTACTATCAATTCACCAAATATGGTTTATATGGGATTAGATGCATCAAAGAGTGAATTTTCATTGTTTTATCAGCTGATCACTTGTTCTGTTACCTCAAACATGGTAACGTAGCCTATATCTTGTAAAACAAAATTTAATTTATTTTCATTAGTGTTACAAGTGGAAAAATTAAACAAAAAACTTTTGCAAAAAAGTTTATGTAATTTAAGCACAACTTAAGTTGTGACAAACTTCAATAAGCAACTACCTTGGCACAAACAAATTCAAGAATGACATAGAGAATTCATGGAAACTGGTTGTGTGTGCTAGAAAACAAAAACAAACACTAGACAACCTCGAACATCTGAAGAAAATGTCTGAAAGAGGATATTGAAAAGAAACAACATTTGGTGTAAAAAAAAACAACTTATCAGCTGACACAACAATGAAACTTCATCCTTTGCCCTATCCAATAACAAATCATACTTGGTCAATTAGTAGGTTTCAAGTAACAAATTGATAAAATCTACTCTTACATTTTGAAACGCCCCTTATTACACCATATATTTTCCCATTCCAATAAGCCTGCCGTCCTAACAAAATTCCTTAAACCAATTAATTTAGCCATACCAATCAGTGGTAAACAAAACTGAGTGAAATATTTTGTTGACAGTATAATCTGCGGTCTGACCCAGTTCACCACCAAGAATCACATCATCAGAGCTGCACTGGAGGCCATCTGTTTCCAGACCAGGGACATCTTGGAGGCCATGCACAAGGACTGTGGGGTACCACTCACCAAGCTACAGGCTGATGGCAAACTCACTTGCAACAGGCTGCTGATGCAACTGCAGGCTGACATTTGTGGCATTCCTGTCGGTTAGTATTCGACTAAAATTTGTTTCATATAAATTATGCTTTGTGGAGCGAAGGGTCTAGTTTTTTAGTTTTTTGTCAGGATTGTCGACTTACCTGATTGGTAAAGAATCCAATCTGGCACAGAATCTCAAAAAACACTATACATTAAGAATATTTCACTGTCAGCGCCAAATTAGGAGAGGTTTGCGTTGGGAAAAAGTCTTCCAAGTGGTGGCCAGAAAGTTGTGTAATAAAATATCTGAATTTTTACAAAAAAATTGACCGTTTTACTATTTTATTACATTATTTAACACAGTAAAGTTTGTATCAATTTACAACTGGATGGGTAACTGAGTGGTTATTATAGTGCTCGCCTAACCAAATGTAGCCAAATCGATCTTGAGAAAAGTCAGTAGCTTTGTGATGGTCTGCAACTGGACCCAGCTGTTCCTGATCATTGGGCTTTAAATAAAAATGATCCTGGTTAATGAAACAGCTGATCTTAGTCAGTAACAAAGCTACAAAGATCAATTATACGAGGCATGTTTTTAAAGTAAGTACCGTTTTCAAATTTCTCCGTTGCAGTGCTGCGATCGGCATTTTGGACACTTTCACTGTATATGTGCATCTATTGGCAAGCCCTAGCCGGAAATTCGACAGCAATCGGCCGTGTTTACATCCGGTATCGAGCATTCAAAATGGTGCCACCAATTGAGACTGCCGCCGACTGTAAAGTGCGCGCTGTAATTAGATTTTTTAGTGCTTAAGGTGTGAAAGCCATTGCAATTTATCGACAGATTACTGAGGTGTATGGCGAGAAAATTTATGAGTGACAGAATGGTACGCAAGCTGTAAGGGCCAGCGAACACAGAAGGGCATCTATAGACGGCCGTGGCAACGTCCATCATGAGCAACGCACTGGGCAGCGTCACTGTCCCCAGTACCCAGTGAGTTGCTCATCATGCACGTTGGTGGGGCCGTCTTTAGATTCCCTTACCCACTTGTGTACCATTCTGTCACTCATAAATGTTCTCGCCATACACCTCACTAATCTGTTGATAAATTTCAATGGCTTTCACACCTTAAGCACTAAAAAATCTAATTACAGCGCGCACTTTACAGTCGGCGGCACCATTTTGAATGCTCGATACCGGATGTAAACACGGCCGATTGTTGTTGAATTTCCGGCTAGGGCTTGCCAATAGATGCACATATACAGCGCAAATGTCCAAAATGCCAATCACAGCGCTGGAACGGAGAAGTTTAAAAACGGTACTTACTTAAAAAACATGCCCCGTAATATGATCTGAGTTTTTGACTATCCGAGATACACTCAGTTCACCTTACTTTGGTAATTGATCCTCCACTTTATATAAACAAAAGTTAGAATATTTCTGATAGCTTTTTCAACCAAGGATGATTGGAACCAAGAGAGTTGTCTGTAGGTTCAATAGCTTTGCCAATGAACAATGACAGGGCAATATTTATAATCTACAGTTTAAAATGTGTGTAAACGAGTGTGGCATCATAATCTTGATGTGTGGTGTAACAGTACTGTCGAGTGCTGATGATGTTACATCACTCGGTGTTGCACTGATGGCCGGTCACGCCAAGGGCATCGAACTGTGGGATCTCACCAAGGAAGAGGACAGTCCTGACTACATCGGTGATACGTTCCTACCTGCGGCATCCACTCCAGGTAAGGCAATTTTTGTCTTTACTTACAGTAGAGGAAAAAGAACGATTTAGCTACCTGAGAAAATGAATTCAAATAAAGGGTCTATTACTGTATTCAGTATTTCTTGTACATTACATGAACGAATGATGTCATTGTTGGTTGTATTGTTAACAGTATCTTCATTGTATTATATTGCTCAGTTTGTTGGCACCTAGTTGGTTTTAAATTTCATTTTTAATTCTATAAGTTAGTTTAGTATTGCAGAACAATTCACCCAAATTTCTGCTGGTCAGTTGCTAACTCTGGGGTTGCTGTACTCTAGTAAAGCTAGCATTATCTATATAATTAATACGCTACATGAAACTTTGTCGGTTGAACTCCTCCGCCATTTCTTAACCGATTTTATCCATTGACGTCTCATTGGAAAGAGCGTGTCAAGTAGATTTGCAAACTGGCCTTATATTTTTGAAAAAGTCCCTTGGGCTCTGCCCCAGTGGCTTCGAAAGTTCCCATGTTATCCTTATGAAGAACATAATTGTTTACATTTTGATCAGCTGTATAATTTAATTGCTGTTATTTATTTTTCAATTCAATGAAACGCATTGAGTACATTTGTTTACTATTTGAGTTTGTGTAAACATAACCCCCATGACGGATCGTGTTAGTGGTTGTATCTTAAATTTGTGTATTTATCGCTGTTTTGTGTCGCTATGACGGATCGTGTTAGCATAATTGTAACTTAAATTTGTGCGTTTATCGTCGTTTTGTGTAGCTATAATTTGTTTATTCGTTGTTTTTTTCTTTTAAATGCCTCCGACGCGACGACAACGAAACATAGACAGGAGGCGTAATCGTGTAACGACCGCAGCTACAGAACAGTGACACGTAATAGGCTCAACTAATAGGTTTAAAATGCGCCCTAACACTATCCCAAAACGACTTTTAGTTCTCAATTGGCCCTCTATCAATGACCTGTGTTGCCTGTACAGCGAGGCATTTTGAGAAGGAGAAAACCAACCGGAATGCTTTAGGTTTATCAATAACGAAGATAAACATGGTCTGAGTTACACACCGGTAATCTTTGAGTTAACTCTTTTAAATTCATCGTATATATGACTGTTATTCGTTTTGAAATAACTCCTGTAATACTTTGCAATTGCTCGAATTCGAGCAACATGTACACTAGTTAATAATACTGTAATAATTAATAATTTCTCTACCATCTGCAGAACGCAACCTGAGATACACCAAGTGGAAGATGGCTGTTCAAAGAAGTCTTGGGTGGGCAGCGACCAAGAAATCAGAAGCTATGACAGGTATGTATATCGTACATTACGTATATGCTGAACTAGTTTTGTTTGATATATTAACGCCTTTGGCAGTTATCATATTCATGTAGGAGAACGGATATCTCTTGGTGTGTTGTTTGATCAATATAAACATCACTAAGTTATAATTTAATTTTTCCAAACCCAGATTTAGTTATCTTACAGGACTAACATTGCAGATTTTCTCTGAGCAAAGCGTGTGACAACCTTATTTTCCAGGACATATGAAAACCCTATACACAGCCCAATATCCTCTTCTGATTTTACTAAAATTAAAAGCTACACGATTTGTCTTGGTTGAAACGTTTGTGTATTCAACAGAAATCAGTAACTGACATCAGCTGTTTGTTGGTGACTCAATCTAACAAAGTCCATTATCATACTGACACTAGCCACAGATTATCACTTGTATCACTTGGGTCTACTTGTATCAATATTCAAGGCATAAAATTGTTTTGTAAAATTCGGGTTAAGCTGAGTCAGAATTTGAGTTTGTGAATTTGTCAAAAGGTGAGATAGACTCACAATAAAGTGGTAAATCAGAACTGTGAAGCAAAGGCAGCGATATTTTGGGTTCACATCCTGTTGCTGTTAAAATAATTAGCACAGTTCATACTTGTATCGCACAGGCTAACCAGCTTTGCTTGACACGTTCCATCACAACTCAGGGTTCTAAAGGCTATTTGGACAAGAAAATTCTACGTAAAAAAATATTGCCAACCTCACAAAAGAATTATAATTGAATAAATCATATGTAAAATAAGGCCTAAATACAGAGAAAACATTCAGTGGTGTCTAGAACTAGTCCTGGTGTCTAGGACCCTTGCCCTCATGTACTAAAACACTCAAGGTGTAGACAGACCCTGTTCCCCGTGCGATAGGAATTTCCTGCTCGCTGTCCAGGCTCTTTCTTCTTGTAACAAGTATATTTCTGGCACAACATACCAGAGCTGAAAGCACAAAAATTGGTCCCATAAGAGTGTTTCCTCTGTACCTTACTTCTCTGTGAATAAGCACCACATTGCATTCTTGTATTGCACAGGCTAACCCTTAGATTTGTTTGAAATGTTCCATGCACATTGCACAGGGACATAAAGCCCATTTGGACAAGAAAATTCTACGTAAAAAAGATCACCTCACCAATACCATAAAAGAGTTATTTTTAGTAATACATGTTTGTTGAACAGATGAGCGCTTCAGACTGCTTGCCTCCATACCTCCGGCCATGTTCCTGCTTGCGTCTTTCTCCATGTTGGCTCTCTCACATCTTGTTCCTTCATGATAGCTTGCACGTTACACAATACAACTGATCAGCTGATTCCAGAAGTGCAATAATACCGGTTTAGTACTTAATTCAAATCATATCCATTAAGGTACATTTACAATTAAACAAACTCCCCTTTGGTACTAGGTAAACAGCTTTAAGATATTTTCCAAGGTTGGTTTTGGAAAACATAATGTTAGAAATGCCAAAAATGAAAAGGTTTATGTTATTTGTTACTGTTGTAGATATCTTAGGTTAATAAACTGTAACCTATAAAAAGGATTTTAGATACTGCTTGGCACCAACCAATTTTTTGGCACCATTTTTGTTTTGGGTGAATAAAAAAATGAGCAAATATGTTTTGGCTAAGAAAGCTCTCCAATTCAAAGACAGTTCTCACCTGAGAAACAGAAATCCTTTAATGGTTTTTAGACAGAAAACCCTACAAGAACTATTTTAGTGATTGGAGTGGAGAACTTATGTTGTAGAAGTTTGGGTGCAAAGTCCATAATATGAATCATCGATGATGACAAATACCTATGTAATAAAGCTATTACACAATGGTTCAGAGTTTACTATAGATCCACCAATCACAAATAAAAAAGATAAAGGAAAATCTGTCCGTGCATTGGAGATCACTTTCATGAATACCCTTGAATCAATGCTTTTGTTACAACATTTTTCCTATATGATCAATCTATGTACTTATTTTGTAATGAAGTTTGTGCAATATGATTTAACATTATTTCAATTCAAGAGGTAATATTTATTTAGTAATATTAGCAATTAGTATCATACTAATTATAGTCAAAATATGTAAGAATCAGGGTAAAATAGGTTATAGTGATTTAGTTGTAGTAATGTGTACAACAATGGTGAAGGGCTTAAAACCCCTTAAACGCTTTAACCGTTAACTCAATTTGTGATTTTCAGCTATGACTCAAAAAAGTAAAGTTTTTCCTTAAATAAATAATGGACTGTATTTAATTTTTTATAAATACATATTTCTATGAAATTACAAACAAGAATCAATATACTGTAACTTCAAAGTATTGGATTCATGTTTACAGATTAATTGCCAGTTAGATTACATGATAAACAATATGAAAAACATGAATTACATGAAAAACAATAGGGACTTCAATTATCAATTCTTGAATGATTTACTTTGCTATAAAAGTTCAAGAAACTGTTTCCATTTATAAATCAGAACAGTATTATTTGTAGGTATACTCAACCCTTTATAAACAGTCTGTTGCATTTATAGAGCTCAAAACTTTGATACAGTATTATTTGTTCTTTTCACAAAACGTTTGTATATATTGAGATGTACAACTGAATTGTTCATTTTTATATCTGTGACGGCAACCGTTAAAATAAATGTTGTTATTTTTATTGTTACAAATTGTTGTTATTGTCAACCTTTAAGCCTGCTGTCATATTGGCCATAATTGACTACTATGTGTGTTTGATTTTATTTGAATTATGAAAGCATAGCTCAAATAAAACGGCATGGAATGTCCTGCGGCCAAAGAGACAAGCTCAGAACTACTATGCTAAGAATTAATGTTTCATGTATGCAGCATAAGATCACTGCTACCTTTTAATTTAATTCTGTTTAACTTTTGAGTTAGAGTTACAAGTATGAAATTTAAACTGAAAGACTAATTGATTACTTTTGTAAACAGCGGTTTTTGCTCTGAGATTTCTACTAAAGAATACACCTTTAGAAGGAACCCTTACCAAATTGTGTGAACAAAAGATAGCCAACAGTTGCACGATCACACAAAATATAGTACAGATAGGTTACATTGATCAGAAAGTTTTGGATTTGGGCAACAAGAAAACAACTGATAGAATGTGTTGGAAATATATTTACAAGTCAAAATGAAATTCAAATATTCACAACAATCGTATGAAAGATTTAACAAAAGTTATAACTGTTCTTGTGAAAGAGGAGTATCACCATCCACGGAGCTAAAGAAGGTGTATATTTTCCTGCTGAGTTCAGGACCAATTCGCCTGCTGGAGGTTAGTGGTCCTTGGCATCTTCGAACCTGTTGTAAAAATTAGTGATCTTTAAAATGTCTTTTATTTGGCTGTAATTTTAATGTAATTTGACTTTGAAGTAGATACAGGTAAATCGATAAAATAATTATGTTCTTAAAGTGCAGAAAACAGAATTTTAGGCTGTAAAATTTATATTATTGTCTGAGTGTTGAAAATGTATGGTAATGATATTATAGAGCTTTTTGAAGACATTATGTAGCATTTACAATACAAACAAGGCTAAACTCACATGGATGTCCCGAAGCAACTCCTCGCCCTCCTTTTGGGTATTGCATTTGTCATATGCCTGAAACAGGTAAAGTATACAATTGTTGTAATAACAGATTTAGGCTAATACTAAGTTGCAAAAACGAGTAAATGATAAACTTTCTTAATGACGCTGTCTGACAATGCATGAACAAATATTAATCTATTTATTTTCTTAACTATCACAAATGAATGCAAACACTAAATAAACTACAGTACGGTCCACGAGAGTCTGCAGTTGAAGGAGGAGCCTATTTACCACGTGACTTCGAAGAAGCCAATGAGGAGTGTGCGTTGGTTGTTGCCAAGTCTGATAATACTGGCTGATTTTAAAATACTGTTTGGTAAATTTTAATTAGTGTCAAAAATTAGTGAACAGGCGAAGTTGCAACGTCACCTTAGTCCAGTCTTGCTATTGGCTGCCGCCAACTGCAGACTCTTGTGTTCCCTAGTATAACAACTTACCTGAATTTTTACGGGTCGACATAAGTTTTTTAGCCAGAGAAACTAGACACTTTAGACACCCAGCTAATGATTCAGGCTGACTAGTAAAAGCAAATAGAACTGTTGAGACACGGGCTAGTTCAAATATGAAACACCAATTTTGGCAATTTTACTGCTTTTAGTACAGTATGATCTGAGCTGATTTCTTTCATTGCTATCAGATAATACAACCAATGGTTACACAAAATGGCATTTAAATTTAACTATTAAATATGAACACTGAGGTCAAAATAAGTAATTTTAAAGTCAAAGGTGTATAAACCCTTAAACTTTTTTTACCCGTAGCTGAGTGGTAGTGCTTGCCTGGTAATCAGAAGTTCACTAGTTTGATCCAGAGAATAGTTGTAGATCATTTGAAACATATCTTTCCTTGTTCATCTATGGTCCTGCCTAAGGAACCAGCTTATCTGACTCAGAATCAAAGTATTATTCAATCCTGATCCTTTAGCCATCTTCGCCTAAAAATATGAATCCAATCTCATATTTAACAAAGCAGATCTAGCTAGTCTGGAGGAACTGACCAACACAAGTGCTCGAGGACTGGGGTAGACAGAGGCGATGGCCTGGGCTACGTCATGTCCAGCCAGATTGAACTGACACAGTTGTTGTTGCCACAGTCGCAACAGTCCGTTGCCTGCCTTGTCCACAGTGACACAGTCACGACTGTCACCCACGGCAAACCACTCCAGGTTCTCCAACTCTCTGCGCTGCTTCTCTAGTCTGCAAACGTCATCAGACTGAGCAATGAGGGCAGTTTTAGATATATATTGTAAGAAAGGATATCAACCCTGAACCCTAGGTGCTTATCTACGCCGATACTCTGTTCACATTACCATTAGTCGACCAATCGGTGTGAATACAGCTGAGCAGTAGCATGAGCATAAATTTCAAAATTCTTTTCCCAGCTGGCGTTTCTAGGACGCTAGGTTCTAGCTCGGAAATTAAACATTACTTCAGGCAAGTCCTAGAGGGTTGCGGCATTTATTATGACATAGATGGAATCCTTTGGTGATTGGCGGGATTTGAACCCAGGACCTCAGGCTCCGAAGCCCCGAGCTTTACCACTGGACCAATCTGTTTATAGGTAGAACACAGGGCTTTGGTTTCTGACGTCCTAGATTCAAATTTCGCTAATCCCAAATGGCTATTAGCTCGACCCTCTAGGCCCTAGTCTTAGCCCCAAGTAGATATTAGTGGATTGGCATTAAGTCTCAACATTGAAGCTTAAAGCTGATCAGATGGCCAGGTTATGGTGAAGTCACTGCTTATATAAATTTATGAAAATGAATCAGGTTGAAAGGCAATTGGCCGAAGGCTTATGAGTGGGTTTTGTACTAACCCTAAAAAGGTACAAACAGAGGTTTTATTTTATACCGGGTACAGTTGACTCTCGCTCATCCGGACTAATGTGGCGAACGTCCGGTCCGGATTACGAAAACTCCGGACTATCGAGAGTCGAGCAAATACACAGTACAGTACTGTATATAGCCGTTTCTTCAATTTAGTTCCAGGTCCACAGTAATGATAGCCCGGGCATATGCATTTCCACCGGTATAATTTTTTTTTTCACGATTGCTGATCCGGACTAGCGGGAGTCCGGACAAGGCCGATCCGGATGAGCGAGAGCGTACTGTATGAAAAATTTACAGATAATTGCAATTAAAACAACATGTATTTATTTATTTTATTTATTGAGTTACATGTCATTACATTATAATAACAGGACATATTGTCAATGGTTAAATAAAGACTTAAAACTAATAGATAAAACTAATACATCTGTATTTACATAAAACAACTGAATCTACCCAAAATACAACATTTTTACATGACAAAAAAATTGAGCCAGCAGGAGTGTGAAGGTTTACTTATACCTAATTCCAGCAGTCCTTAAAATAATCTGCCAATGAAAAAAAAGATTTAGTCTTGAGCCATTCTTTTAAATAAAGTCTAAACTTATAGGGAGTTTCTAGAGTAGTTAAACTTGTTGGTAAGTTATTTAAGATTTTTGGACCAATGTATTGTGGTGATGACTCGAATATTTGTAAATTATGAGCTACAGGTTTGATAATATTCTTTTTTCTTGTATTGTAATTATGTTGAGTTTGGGTCTCCATAAAAGTAGAGAGGTTTCTATGGACCCAGCATGCTATTTCCAAAATATAGTGATCGTAAAAAGTAAGAACTTTAAAGTTTTGAAACAGTTTTTTACTAGGGGTTCTAGAGGGAACTTTGCCAATAATTCGTATTACTTTTTTTTGTAATTTAAAAATTTTTTTTGAATGAGGAGAGTTACCCCAGATCAAGATACCATATGTCATTAATGATGAGAAATATGCATGATATATTATTAGCTGGGTTTCTAGATTCGTTACTTGTGAGATTATTCTTATTGAGAAAATGCAAGGGTCTAATTTTTTACTTAAATTTTCAATTTGAGATGCCCAGTTAAGATTTTTATTCAAAATTAATCCAAGGAATTTTACATTTTGTTGTGGAGATAATTGATGATTTGAAAGGATAATGTGATTTGAATCATCTTCCCTGTAGTTAGCTGAAAAGTTTATTATTTGGGTTTTTTCCACATTTAGGGCCAGACCATTTGCCCGGAACCAGTTACCCAGAGCAGAGAATTCTTTGTCTATGCTAGTCTGCAGGACGTCAATAGTGGGTCCTCTACACAAAAGCATTGTGTCATCTGCATATTGAAAAAGTTTCATCTTTGTTATATTTGGCAGATCATTTACATAGATTAAAAACAAAGAGGGACCCAATATTGACCCCTGTGGCACACCACATTGCACTTTATCCCAAGATGAATTTACTTGTTGACCATTTTTGCTGATTTTAGTTCTCTGGTATCTATTAGTTAAATATGAAGAAAACCACAGTTGCTCTTTTCCTATAACTCCAATTTTGCCTAGCTTTTCAATTAAAATGTCGTGGTTAACACAGTCAAAAGCGCTGGATAGGTCGCACAGCACACCCGCAGCCTTCTGCGACCCATCCAGCGCCCCAGCTATATGATTAACCATTTGTGTTATTGATGTTTGGGTATTAAGTCCTTTTCTAAAACCAAACTGTGATATATTAAATATATTATTGTTTTCCATATAATTTTTTAATTGTAATTCAACTGCCTTCTCAAATATCTTAGAAAAGCACGGAAGTAAAGCTACTGGACGATAATTCTTCAAATCATTAACACAATTTCTTTTATAAAGAGGCTTGATTACAGAAAATTTGAGTTTTCCAGGGAAAACTCCACATTCTAGGGACTGGTTTATTATTTTGCACAAGGATTCTTGAATCAAATCAATCACATATTTTATTACAAATAGGGGGATTTCATCCCATCCTGCAGATTTAGTATTTTTCAATGAATAAACAATTTTTCTCAAATCAGATATTTTAATTTTTTTAAACTTAAAAGGCTCATCAATCTTTGCTAAGTTACTAACCATGAACATCAATGCTTTGTTCTTATTCGGAGCTACTGCTGCTGAATTACTTAAGTTCAAAAAATGATGATTAAAATCATTTGCCAGAGTCTTCAAAGATTGGCAGTTATTTTTCAGGCTGCTCTGAACATTATATGGTATCTCATTATTTAGTTTATTGTGGCCCAACTCCTTCTTTACAACTGCCCAAGAAGCTTTGGTCTTACAATTTGAGTTTTTAATATAATCTTCGTTTGTCCTTCTTTTGGAAAGATTGGTCACTGACTTAAATATTTTTTTGTAATTTTTAAAATACTCAATAAAAAACGGATTCTTGTTCCACTTTGACTCCCAATGAAGTTCTCGTTTTCTAATTGCTGATATTTTAATACCTGGTGTTACCCATTTTTTGTTTAATGGTTTATTTGACAATTTGTTAGGTTTTAGTGGTATGGCCTGATTCAAATTTAACAAAAGATTAGACAGGAAGCTTTTATAGTTTGTATTTACATCAACTAGAGGATTAAAGCAACATGGCGATAAAATTAAACATTTTCTAAAATATTCTAAATTTTCTTGACAAAAGTTTCTTTGAAATATTACCGTTGATTTAGAAGGGTTTACAAAATCTGATGTCAATTCCGCTAGAGAAATTAATAAGGCTTCGTGATCAGAAACCCCAGCACTACTTACTATTGTTTCTGCTTTTTTGGTCATTAATTTCATATTTGAAAATATATTGTCAATACAAGATTTTGTTTTTGGAGTGATTCTCGTTGGGGCATCAAAGTGAAACTTAAAACCATATTGTTCACTGAGAGATTTTAACTTTTGTGATCTATTACTGTTTTTCAAAAAATCCATATTGTGATCCATAGCAATTAAAATATTTTTAGATTTAATTTCAAGATTTAGTTTATTCAATAACTGATCAAATTTATGTAGAAAAATGTTATCCATCTCTAAGTTTGGAATACGATATATAGAAATAAACAATGTTTTCCATTGAGTCACTTCCACAAAACTACCTTCAAAACTATTTGCTTCATTAAGAAATTTTAAATCATTCCTAACTTTAAATTGGATGTCATCAGAAACTAAAAGTGCTGATCCTCCTCTAGCTTTATCAATCCTGCAAAAAAAGTCACAAACTCTAAATTTGTCTATCTTATTAAGAAAAGCTATATTATTTTGATTAAGCCAATGCTCGTTCAGTGACATTATTTTAACGTTTTTGCCACAGTTATTCACAAAAAATTCCAAATCCTCATAGTTATTTATGAAACCCTGTATATTCAAATGCAGGAACCAGTAATCTTTTGTTAATGTTTTTCCCCCTTGAGTAAGATTTTTTGAACATTTTTTGTTGAAAACTTCACCCTGTTGATTATTTTTCAATGTGTTTTTTAAACTGGAAGTGATAAATGTATGTTTGAGTGCATGAACCATTCAAAAATTACAGTCCAAGCCAACCGGGTTCTAATAGGGTTTGAGTCTATGGTAATTTGGTAAAGTAGAAAATGGTGTAGTATCATTGACTGTTACACTAATGCATGTACATCCGATCTATGGACCAGCTGTTGCCAATTTTTTTATTAAAAAAAGAACATAGTTGTGTGAGCCAGTCACAGATTGTGCTTGTGTCTAAAAATCTATTTTCTACCTTATTTGTTGTCACTGAGAGAGTTGAGGTAATATAAAAGACTAGCTGTAACCCGCGGGCTTTGCCCCGTTTAACTTCTTAATTTTCAACATGATCTCGTTCGCATGGCTCAATCACGTCCTGGTTGAAGTTCGTTCGCTACGCTCACTCACCTTTAGGTTGGAGCTCGTTCGCTACGCTCACTCACCTTTAGGTTGGAGCTCGTTCGCTGCGCTCACTTGCCTTCAGGTTAGCTCAATCGCTACGCTCACTTGCCTTCAGGTTAGCTCGTTCACTACGCTAACCCGCCTCCAGGTTGAAGTTCGTTCGCTATGCTCACTCACCTTTTGGTTGCAAATTAGCTGTTGTCATAAATGTAAAAGAAATAATAATGCTGCACCCTGTTGGTAATCCTTGTAACTTTAATGCTATTGAACATCATAGAACAGAACCAAATTGTTTAATTGAAACAGCTGTTAAGATTCATTAATTCCATTTCTCATAAGGTTAACATGGGAAACTCCAGAGCCACTGGGGCGGAGCCGATTGGACGGATCACGAAATTGATGGTGTATAAACCTATTCCATGAAATTCTACACGTATGTACCAAGTTTCGTGGCAATCGGTTCAGTGGTGTCTGAGTTTATCACTGCCAAACATATCCTTATATCTATAAGTATAAAAGAGGATGTTTGTATATATATTTGTTTGTTTGTTTGTTTGGGGGTGATAAACTCGGACACCGCTGAACCGATTGCCACGAAACTTGGTACATACGTGTAGAATGTCATGGAATAGGTTTATACACCATCAATTTTGTGATCCGTCCAATCGGCTCCGCCCCAGTGGCTCTGGAGTTTCCCATGTTAACCTTATGAGAAATGGAATTAATGAATCTTAACAGCTGTTTCAATTAAACAAGTTGGTTCTGTTCTATAATGTTCAATAGCATTAAAGTTACAAGGATTACCAACAGGGTGCAGCACTATTATTTCTTTTACATTTATGACAACAGCTAATTTGCAACCAAAAGGTGAGTGAGCGTAGCGAACGAACTTCAACCTGGAGGCGAGTTAGTGTAGCGAACGAGCTAACCTGAAGGCAAGTGAGCGTAGCGAACGAGCTAACCCGAAGGCAAGTGAGCGCAGCGAACGAGCTCCAACCTAAAGGTGAGTGAGCGTAGCGAACGAGCTCCAAACCCAAAGGTGAGTGAGCGTAGCGAACGAACTTCAACCAGGACGTGATTGAGCCATGCAAACGAGATCATCTTGAAAATTAAGAAGTTAAACGGGGCAAAGCCCGCGGGTTACAGCTAGTATAATTCTGTAAGACAAAATCTTTACCAGAAAATTTTGGACGTCTGGTAAGTCGCAGAAAAGTGGGAGTGGTCTTAAATTAAAGGTCTTGACCCCAGGGACTCGGGAAAAATAGCAGAATTCCCATAAAGTTACCAGATAACGAGATATAATGTAAAATGTTTTCCATAAGAATAGCATTAGAAGCCATTTTCTGCTACTTTTTGTTTACTTCATACAGCTGATCGTGATTTATCATCAAGCCAGTACGCAATGTTAACATCTATATATTAATTTGAAACTGTTTTTCTTTGTGACAGCTAATTTGAGAGAATGGCTGGGCGTAGAAAGTCGGTAGAGGTGTCTAAAGAAAGGGCTTGGTCTGTAGATGAGCCATCAAAAGAGAAACGTGGTAAATTCCCTTGGGGCTCTGCCCCAGTGGCCTTTAAATTCCCATCCCATGTTATTCTTATGGGGGAAAAATGGGTTTTTGTCACAGCTAATTTCAGAGAACGGCTGGGCATAGAAACTTGGTAGGCGTCTCTAAAGAAAGGTCTTGGTCTGTAGATGAGCCATCAAAATAGAAACGAGGTCAATTCTCTTGGGGGTCTGCCCTAGAGGCCTTTAAAGTCCCCTCAGCAGATTAGTTTACATTATGACCATATGTATAATTTTACACTACTTTTTAATGAAACAGCTGTTAATATTTAAATTGTGATTTACTGAATTTGTCAAAATGAAGTATTTGCAAAGGGTTTTTTCTGATTTTAAAATCAATTTTCTTCTGCATCGTGTCATGTTTTGCAATATAATGTTGTAATGTTATAATGTGCAATCCAAATCAGTGGAAAATCCTAATATCACAGTAACTCTTAAAATGATTTCTTATGGAGTTAACTTATGTCTATTGTATGGGTTGGTTTCTGCCTTTTTTTACCACTTCTTGGAGATTGTACGTAGGCGTGTTGCACGTAGATGATATTCTTTGGCGTATTGCATCTGTAGACGATACTTGGGTTGGTGTAATTATTACAATGGGAAAAAGCGAGAAATCCTGGACAATTTGATATAGGCCTACTAAAAATAAAACTGAATTAGAAGAAATAGAAATAATGTTTTTTTCTTCATTTATAATCGTTATTACCTAATGCGGCTATGAGTGGGAAACATTTGTAGAAAACTCTAAAAAACAAGATCAGCTTTTGAAAAAAAGATAAGATACAAACAATTTTCATTATATCTAACTGTTGTGTACATCGTGAGTATTTCCACAATCTTTGAGTACACTTTTATAAAGTCGTCGGAAATTATGACCGTTATTTGTTTTAAAATAACGCCTGTAATGCTTTCAATTGCTCGAATTCAAGCAACAGGTACACTAGTTTGGATTATACTTATTTGCCAGTAAGTTCAGCAATGTACTATATAAAACCAGGGATAACGTTACCTATAATAAAGACTTTTTAGTTACATTATATAGAATATGGAAATATATTATTTTACTGTGAAACTTTTCAAACTTGTGTTTAACAAGAAATAACCACATTGAATAAATAATTAACGAGCTACCTTAATAAACCAGTATTTATTCACAACCAATTATATGTTTGCTGCCTTTATAGTGTGGCCTTGCTTTAGCAGAGTTAAATCTATGTAGTGATTCGAATGATTTATTGAAAATAACATCAACAAAGACAAACAACAAACAGTTTTTTACACAAAAGATATGGCATATATACAGGGATATCTATTCTGACACATAGATAATATATTTCTTTGTTTGTTTAAATATTAGAATAATTTGTTTTATATTATTGAGCATTTTAGGGACTTATGTCCCTACAAGCCACTAGTATATATATATATATATCTATATATATATATACAAACATCCTCTTTTATACTTATAGACTATACAAAAAGTCATCCTATCAGTATCAGTATTACTTGGTTAAAACGTCTGCATTTTCGATAGAAATTAGTACAGTAATTTAATCTGCACAACCTGTAGGTGGCTCACTTCAAGGTGACAACTTTAACACGGGGATGGAACGTCCAGTACTAAAAGTAAATATAACTTACATTGATCCTGAGTTTTTTTCTTTATCACTGTTCATACCAAACACACTGGTAATTCATCAATGTTTTAAATTACTACTAAAATATCCGACAAGCACTTACTAATGATTACTGTGATTCTGTAACTTACTTAAAAGGTGTTTCAGCAATTGCTTTCGTAATTTGTAAGATTAGTTGACACAGGTCGTCTGGGCTTTCTATTATCCTTTGGTTGCAATTCGTCATAATCTGCAGTTCAATCAACTCTTCTTCTATTTCTTTTCTAAAACCAATATAACATTTAGTGACAATCCTTTTTTGTGATGAGACAAAAGTGATTCGGTTTTAATACTGTATTGGCTAATTAATTGATTAATAATTTGTATTGGCAAGGTTCGAAAGCCCTGTTGATTAATTGAAAATACTGAGAGTAGAGGAACTAACAATTAATTACATTTACCCAAACATTTTTAGATTTAAAATTAGGGATGGACAAGATTGGATTTTTAGTTCGAGACGAGACGAGACGAGATTTTTTATTTCTCATAAACTTTCGAGACGAGATCGAGACGGGATTTCCCTTCTCATACACAACGGGAAATGCACGTTCAAAATTTTTACCTGATTTTGTAACATTGTTAGATGACTGTTTAAATACAAAAATAATGATAATAGGCAAGAATATTTACAATCTTTTATTAAAAAACATCAGCATAACATTTTTTTATTAATCACGCCTAACTTATTAAAAATGCCTACGATTAGGAAACATAGTGATATCAGTTAGGATAGAGTTCAACTTATCCTAAAATAAAATAAATCATAAAATAAAAGCAATATTAATTTTTATAAAATAGTTAGGTACTTGTTTTGACTTTTTATAGTAATAAACATTCCTCACACTGCTTACATTTAACAAAACTTCTCAAATGTTATTAAAGTAATATTATTATAATAATTAAAGTAATATTTACATTTAAAGAATTAATTAAATAAGAACGCCTTCGCAAAGGAAACGCAACTACAACACGCTCCTGTATTGCGGGTATTGCATTGACATTCTGAAAGCGTTTTACATTTTTTTTTTTTTTTTTTTTCTCGTCTCGATAAAAATCTCGGCCAAAAAGAAATCTCGTCTCGTGTAACGAGATTAAAATTTCCCGAAATTTCGAGACTTGACCATCCCTATTTAAAATGTAACAGCATTGACTATACAGAGTGTATAGTCTGTGCTGTGAATAGTCAATGGTAACCGTGTTTCATGTTATGTTAAATTTACAGTATGATTTCTTTTGGGTAAAAAATTTCAAGGATTGACAGATGTTTTCTAAGCAGAGCTGGGACACTTCTCCTTTGCGTAGTTGTATCTACTAGGCTATATTTATCTTGTTGTCCTGAGGAAAAAAGGATTTCCTTTATGAGTGTAGCATAGCTAAGCTACTGTAAAATAAAGTTAAGTAATTAACATGCCACAATGGTCCATGTCACATTGGTACACATACACTTCACAATGGCACTTGTCGCAATAGTAAATCACTACGGTATAAGTCAAAATGGTACAAGTCACAATGATACTTTCTATAATGGTATGAGCCACAATGGTACAGGCTACAATACTTGTAACAATCGTGCAAGTCACAATTGCACAAGTCACAATGGTACATGTCACAATGGTGCAAGTCACAATTGCACAAGTCACAATGGTACATGTCACAATGGTGCGAGTCACAATTGCACAAGTCACAATGGTACATGTCAGAATTGTACAAGTCAAAATTGCAAAAGGTACAATGGTACATGTCTAAATATTAATTGACACAATGGTATATGTCACAATAACTGTACAAGTCACAATTGTAAAAGGCACAAGGTTACATGTCACAATGGTCTGTTTTTATTTAACAGTAGAAAGTCAATATTACATCTAGTCCACAGTGTGTAGGCTATCCGTTTTCCCAAATATTTTAACAATGTGTAATAATAATAGTGGGAGATGATTTTGCTGGTAATCCTTTTCCCACCTCCACCACCTGACTGGATCCCCCACTGACATTTTTTTAGACAAGACGATCAGAGACTCAATTATTATACATAGCAAATATTCTCTCAATTAAACATGTAAGAGCGTTAAAATTTCATTTTCTAACATAATCCAGACGTTTGCTGTAAAACACTTGAGAATATACTTAAACAACACTAGCCCTAACATGAGATTTAAAATACAACTTGTGAATTATGATTATTTTTAAAACTGTAGTTTACTGAGAACATACCAATACACTTTGAAGATATACCTGAAATAGCTGTTAAGTCCATAGAATACAAGATAGATTGACTTCCCAAAATGTTGAGCTTGTATGTCCTGAATCTGAGAGCAAAGTGTATGGCTTTATAACGAGATTAAAATTTCCCGAAATTTCGAGACTTGACCATCCCTATTTAAAATGTAACAGCATTGACTATACAGAGTGTATAGTCTGTGCTGTGAATAGTCAATGGTAACCGTGTTTCATGTTATGTTAAATTTACAGTATGATTTCTTTTGGGTAAAAAATTTCAAGGATTGACAGATGTTTTCTAAGCAGAGCTGGGACACTTCTCCTTTGCGTAGTTGTATCTACTAGGCTATATTTATCTTGTTGTCCTGAGGAAAAAAGGATTTCCTTTATGAGTGTAGCATAGCTAAGCTACTGTAAAATAAAGTTAAGTAATTAACATGCCACAATGGTCCATGTCACATTGGTACACATACACTTCACAATGGCACTTGTCGCAATAGTAAATCACTACGGTATAAGTCAAAATGGTACAAGTCACAATGATACTTTCTATAATGGTATGAGCCACAATGGTACAGGCTACAATACTTGTAACAATCGTGCAAGTCACAATTGCACAAGTCACAATGGTACATGTCACAATGGTGCAAGTCACAATTGCACAAGTCACAATGGTACATGTCACAATGGTGCGAGTCACAATTGCACAAGTCACAATGGTACATGTCAGAATTGTACAAGTCAAAATTGCAAAAGGTACAATGGTACATGTCTAAATATTAATTGACACAATGGTATATGTCACAATAACTGTACAAGTCACAATTGTAAAAGGCACAAGGTTACATGTCACAATGGTCTGTTTTTATTTAACAGTAGAAAGTCAATATTACATCTAGTCCACAGTGTGTAGGCTATCCGTTTTCCCAAATATTTTAACAATGTGTAGTCGTTTTCACTTAAACTAATATTGCAATGTTTACATCTCACCTAGTTACATAAGGAAATTCATTTTCATTACTTTCTTTTCTTCTTCTCTTTGGATTATCCCCTGTGTTATTTCTTCTTTTACTTTTGATGTAGCTGTGGACATAATTTTTCTATTAGGAATAACTGTTGAAATTAATTAGTGTTATGATTGACACAACTACACTAGTTAATGATGTGATTTATAATTGAAATATTTAAAATACATCACACAAATTAATTATAACAACTTGTTAACGTTTCTAAACAATCATTAGCCGAAGCAGAGTAAAAAAATAAACAAAATTGAGGAGTGTTAAAAATGTTTGTTTCTGTTCTGTTTATTGGTTGCCATGCAATAATTATGCCGGGGTCGCGGGTGACAACCGAGTTGTTCGAGATTTGACAACAATCGGGAGAGGCGATGATAATGTCATGGCACTCGCGATATAGAAGGCCGCAGTGTTTTGTAGAAAAACGACTCCTGTAAACAAAAAATTGTTTTCTAAAATTAATGATTCGTCACGATCGGGTGTTACTATAACGATGTCCCCGTAATAGCGGGAGACATTGACGATTTACCCGCGATAGCGGGTGACGATGATGTCCCCATAATAGTGGGAGATGATTTTGCTGGTAATCCTTTTCCCACCTCCACCACCTGACTGGATCCCCCACTGACATTTTTTTAGACAAGACGATCAGAGACTCAATTATTATACATAGCAAATATTCTCTCAATTAAACATGTAAGAGCGTTAAAATTTCATTTTCTAACATAATCCAGACGTTTGCTGTAAAACACTTGAGAATATACTTAAACAACACTAGCCCTAACATGAGATTTAAAATACAACTTGTGAATTATGATTATTTTTAAAACTGTAGTTTACTGAGAACATACCAATACACTTTGAAGATATACCTGAAATAGCTGTTAAGTCCATAGAATACAAGATAGATTGACTTCCCAAAATGTTGAGCTTGTATGTCCTGAATCTGAGAGCAAAGTGTATGGCTCTTGATGGCAGGAATTACAGTTTGCCAATCCCAAATGACAACAATGTAGTTTTCTTCTTCTAATCTCAGCCCTGGCTGCAAAACATATGTTTACTGGTAGTAAGTATCTAGTAATCTTAATGTGTACTGCATTATCATAGCCTCCTTTAATACAAGGCCACGGTGGGACAAAAGTGGCAACACAGCTGTCCCGTGAAACCAAATCAGCTGTTGCACTAATTTATAATGGACAGTATAGGAAATGTTTATGATTACACTTTTTTTATTTCTGTTATGACCATGTCAATAAGCATGACTTGCGAGTTGCCACACATCAACGCCTTCAGCTTGTATGGAGGAGGCTATTATTTTTTTTATTGATCCAATTGTCAAGAACCAAAAGCACCAGTATTTAGGCTAATTATATACTTTAAATCAAAGCTCCATTTTGAAAATGCAGTGTAATGGCATTTTTAGAGGCCTTTTTCTAAAAAGGAAATGTTTGTGAGTTGCAGAATTCATAATCAATAGGACTTTAATGACGGATAACAGATTTAAGTGAAATAAACTGTTTAAGACTGTTGAACCTCAGCCGATCAACTTCTATGACTTGAGAGTTCTGAAGCTTTATAGCATTGATTGAGATATTTTAAATACTTACACAAAATAAGGCCTACAATAACATTTACAATAAAACCATTACACCACCTTTTAGGTTACCGGTATTGTTGTTATGTCTATTCTCTCTTAAAGTGATTAGGATGTAAATAACTTAGTGGCCTTTGGATTTTTTGCAATTCTAAGGTAGCCTAAGAACTAAGTTTTCAAGCACTAACAAAGAAAGGTACTACAACTTACTAACTCTCGTTTCCAAAATATTGTTTGGGGGATAATATGGGCAGAAATGTGGCATTTTGATTCCGAACTCTGGATTGAATCAATTAGTTTACCACCAAAAGGACAAGACACCAGCGATGAATCTACCATTACTGTCATGTACTGAAACAAATAATTATTCATAATAAACATACATGTAAAGATGCAAAATTGTACATTTTTTTATGTCCTAAGGACGCTAGGCACGAGACTGGGATTGTTTTTCACATTACTTCAGGCTAGACCTAGGGGTTGCGGCATTATCACTTAGATAAAATCCATTGATGACTTAGTGGGGATCGAACCCGGGACCTCAGGGATTGAAGTCCCGCGCTCTAACCACTACGCCAGCTCGCTCCCCAACACACATTAGTAGAAAACATTAGTAGGTACATTAGTAGAAGTATTGAAGCCAAGGCAAAGTTACAAGGATTGTCAATAAATTAAGGTCTCTAACTAGCTCCAATTGCGGCTAAAAGAACAAGTTCAAATGTGACACCAGGCAGCTCTTTAATTTCCCTTTTACTGATCTAGCCAGTTGAGTTCCTAAACCTATGCGAAGATTAGTCATTCTCCCAATGTTCATATTTAACTATTTTTGAAGAATGCAAATTTTTACTAAACACTATTCATGCTGCTCAACTGATGATGTACAGTTTTGAAAAGTGCATGACCCCTTGGATCTAAAAGATCTAATCACAGAACACAATTCATACATGGGGGTGGTCGATTATACCTTACATTTTACAAGACAAAAGAAATTATCGCATAGCGATGACAACCAGGAACACGGCTCTGGCGTTAGATTTTAAATAGCTAGACCACAACTGGAGCTTGTTGGAGACCTTAATTTATAAACAAACCTCATATGCTTCAATATATCTAGGGCCCTTTTTATATTTAAGTTAAAATATGACATCACAGATAGGCCCAAGCCAGCTTTTCAGTGTACGTCTCTTGGTACACAAATTATTGTGAATTGTGATCTATCTCTTACTGTAATGTTTCTGATTAGCTGTTGCAATCAAACATAAATAAACTATGGCTCCTCAACAATTCAAAGTCAATCGTTCAGTGGGGCTGACCAAAATGCATCTTTTTGGTCGTAATGTGATTTTGCTATATTTTTTTATATTTTAACGCAGAAGGGCTTCTTTGAACTTAATATAGAAAAAAATTACCTAAGTTACACTTGTACTTTCTTGTTCAGTAACAGAAGTATTTAATCGATGGTGGATGGATAATTCTTAAGTTACTGTACTGTTTTAGCAATATATTACTTACTTTTAAACAATTCCCTGGCTTGGTATAGTTTTGTAACTCCTTTGCGGCAAGTTTTTCAGCTCTCTTTTGTTCTTTTTCTCTTTGTTTTTGCTCTTTGTCTTCCAACCGTTTACTGTTGGTCTTCTTTGGTTTTAGTCCAGCATTTCTTTCTGTATCCACCTATGGTAAATATTATAATTGTTAAGTCATGTTCAAAAACTTAAATTATTAGATTAGATTAGACTGTGCAACACATAATTAATTAATTAATTAATGTTAAATTTTTTAATAAGCTTCCCGATAATGCTCACACCACTCCTCTTAAAGGCTTCAAAATCAAGTTGTATCAATGGCTTCTAGACAATCCATTCTTTACTATTAATGAGTTTATGGCCACCAACATAGATAATATATGTTAAGTTTTCAAATTAATGATAAGCATTAACTTTTGTTTGTTTGGATGAAGTTTACCAATTTTATTAATTTAATGTTTATGAAGCTGTTGTTTGGGTACTAGGCTGGAGTTGCAACTTTAGTTTTAATTTAAATATATTTAGATATTATTGATGATTATTATCGATATTATTGATATTATTTGATGTTATTGACTGTATATATTTATGTTGACCATGCCCATCTCATGTAAAAATGATCAACGGCAATAAATGTCTTATGTCTTATGTCATAATTTGTATGCTGGGTTTGATTTTGGGTGAAGACTAGTGAACGATGATACACTGCTCAAAGTCAAAGCGAGTTTATTTTTTGTCTTATTATTACCGACAAAGATTCTAAGGTTCTTTTGCAGGCAAAGCATTCATCAACAGATTTGCTGCAGAGGTCTTATTGGTGGTCTGTTTTGGACAGCACATGGTTAGATTTAGGACCCGAAAAGCCATTTGTATTTTTTGGAAATTTGTTACCTATTTGATTTGATTTTATGTTTTTGATAGTGCATTGTTCTACTAGAACCTCAATAAAAAGACTCTCACGAGGATTACTAAATAAGACTTTGTTATCAAGTTGACTTCTTATCGAGGTTTGCAATAACATGTGATTAGGGGTAAAATCAGTTGGGGATTTGAAAATGACACTTATTATTAAGGGTGACTTGTTATTGATGGTCTTGTTATCGCGGTTCCACTGTATAATCACACAAACCCTTAGTAGGCTAGACTTTTTTATGATTGGATTGTGATGGAGAAAGGAAGAGGTTAGCAAAGTCTTTAGAAGATTTTCCTTCATTTGCATATGGCAGTTTTTCTGTTGAGCATTTTGCAGTACTTTTTGAGAACAGAATTTTTAAAGATGTAGTCCAGTAAAAATTAGTGTTAGGGGTTCCCTATTTAATGTGCAGCTGAGCTGCAGCAAATATGATAAAAGCCCAATGATGATGAACAGCTAGGTTGTTTCAAAACATCAACAAGCTTTACTCAGGATCAAACTGGCGACCTCCTGTTTACTAGAAGAGTTAAAACTAATTTAACCTGTCATAGGCCTAATCGTTAAGAGAATCAATAAATCGAAAGTGTGAGTTTTTTATGGTGTGCTTTACATTCTGTATGATTCAGCCTGAATTTTATGGGGGCTGGCTGCAAATTGATTGATTTAGTTTAGCAGTACAATTGAACAAGCTTATTTGTAACTAAGTTACTTGCTAAAATGTAAGTTATAGGCCTATTGCTAAATGCTTACTTACCTGATCGTCTACTTGTAATTTTTCAAAAGCAGGTTTGAAAAGTTCTGATTCTCCAGTGTCCAGTGTTTCAGTATTAGGCCTACATTTATTGTTTTTACTGTATTTTAACAAAAGACGATCAAGCTCGTCACGGCTTAATTCAACTGATTTGATGTTTTGGTTTGACTCAGTATCTGAATGATCACTTTCAGAGAGATCATGAAGAATTCGTTTAAATGGGCTTATATTCTTAAGTGGGCTGGAATCAACTTGGTTTTTGTCAACATTTGTACAAGGAGGATTGTTAATATTTTCACTGTCATTAAATACTTCGGACACGTTAATGAATGGGGAGGAGGGTCTTGAGGTGTCGCTTGATAGACTAATAACATCAAAATCAGCCATAACTTCAAGATTTCAACTAGGCCTAGTGATTGGAGCTTTAGTCAAGTTATAAAGCATTTAACTTAGTTCGAGTGCCTATATTTGGTTTCACAGAAATTGTAATAAACTAACAGTATTCTTTCTCAAAATAACCATGCAGTGAATTTTAACATAATCAAAACTAGACACAACAATCAACCTAACCTCTCCAAATGTTTCACCTCTTTGATAGCCTTAGCCAATCCAATTCGAAATCTAAAAACAAATTAAGTTACTTAGTTTACAGTCATATATGTCACCAAAGGTCATAAATATATATAACTAAAAATCCTGATATGATTAAAACTCTACAGAACTAAATCAACATCTACAAGCTCAGTGCTTTATAAAATTTATAAAACATCAAGCAAAAGGAGAATTCGAATTTACATGACAGCAGACAGCAGCTGACGACAGTGACAGTACTGGACTAGGACTAGAACAGAACCATTGTCTATTTTCCAAGATCGAGTGCTATTGAGATTGGCTGGCATTGGATTGGAGTAGCGGCAACGAATCAACTCATTGGTTAGATTGGAGCGAATCAGACAGCACAGCAGACAAGTCTGAACTCAAACGTTTGTAGGTTATGTTTTATGCTAGTTAGTTATGATGTTATTGTTGTGTAAACCGCTGGTGTAAACGAACTCAAGAGACATTTTTGTGTGTATGTTTTCCAACGGCAAAATAATTTCTTTCAAACTGATTTGTGAAGAATAACAGTTATGAAAATCAGACTTCATACAAACCTTTGCGTCAAAGTGAAATGGAAACTTGTAAATAGTTGTCACTAGGCCTAACCATAAACAAATTGTATAATGGTTACCAAACCAAAATTTATTTTTAAACTTTTACTACCTGTATTATTACTGCTACTTTTTGGGGAGTACGTTATATACTATGTCGTACTAATCCAGGTAGGGATATAGTCTAGTAAAACACTATTCTTCCCGTCCAATTTAAATAATGCAAGTAAGGTTGTTGATGTCCAGAATGTCATTGGGTTTCAACACCTTTATGAAATTGATAACCTAAAGCACGGATCACACTAGGCTGGCATCAGCGGCGAATTTAAAGAAGCCGCGACTGTCAGCTTAATGTGACCACAAAATTCACAGCTGACACTGAGCTGACTCAACCTGGATTGGTAGGCCGGTGATGCTGGTGCCAGCTGCTGATCACCAGCGGCTGGCGAACAGCCTAGTGTGACCCGTGCTTAAGCTATTCATTTTAGATAATTGTTAGCTCTACTGTTCTGCATTGCTTAGTATCTTAGGCCTACGTGAGGAATGGTGTAAAATGAGCTGGACTTTAATAACCTTTTTTTCTTTTAGTGTGGATGGCCTGTTCTTCAGACAAGCTATGAAGAGCCAAACATTGTCATAGGGGATGGCGGTGAAGTCAAAGTGATGCTTGTAGCTGACACTCATCTTCTTGGATCTAAAAAAGGCCACTGGTTTGATAAATTGAGGAGGTAAGGTTATAGACAAAGCGAGAATTTGTGAGGTGGGATCCGGAATCATTATTGGATTTTTAAGATGCATTTTTATGGTTAAATAGTGCTTGCCTCACAATCAAAAGGTTGTTGGTTCGATCCTGATAAAAGTCAGTAACTAGTTGAAGTAAAAACTGCGTCCCAGTTTTTGGTTTGAAACTGGACCCAGCTATTCCATAAGTTATCATTGGGCGTTAACTCTTTGCAATCGGAAGGCCAGCAGGAGTGGCCTAAACAGTTGGCAGCCAGTCAGAATTCTATCTGTACTAACTCGGTTCCGACAGTCGGACGGCCAGCTGTACTGGCCAAGTCCAAGTCCTTTGCCCCCTCGGCATCGGGTGGTTTGGATCAGCTAGACTTGCAGGTTAGCATGACTGGTCTACCAAACATAACATTACAACAACAAAACATTAGGCCTACCTACCTACACTTCTATAAGTAAGTCATTATATACAATAACTTGTATATGAAGATAATATTTATTTTAAAAAAATTTGGAAATACATAATAGGATATAACTTAACTTGTAATGAAGGCCTTTATACTTAATCCGGATTTTCTTCATCCACAGGGAATGGCAGATGCACAGAGCTTTCCAAACTGCAGTCACTTTGCACAAACCTGATATTGTGTTTATACTGGGTAAGTTTTACTCGTATTAAACAATTACCAATTATGGCAAAATGGTTTTCCGTAGCTAATAACTACTAGCTATGGATAAAACTTTGGATAATAAAGTAGAAATTATTAGGTTGTGTTGCTAGCCTAGTGGTTAGCGTCTCCAGCTTCGGTTCCGAATTGACAGGTTTGATTTCGGTACATCCACGGACCACAGCACATAATGAGTTTGGACCGCTTTCTCTTAAAGGGTTATTTGAATTATGCAGTACATTGACTCTACAGTAATAATGCCACTAGAGTTAATAAGAAAAATAAAACACTGGAAGTTGTAGTTTCTTTTTTAGGTTTTCATAAAGGCTAGAATTTGATTGGGACAAAAAAAGATGCTTACAGGTCTGTATTCTGTCCGCAAGAACTATTTGTCTTTTTCCGTTATGTGTGCTTCCCAGTGTTTTTATGTTTGTGTAAATATTGATGACACCCAAGGGTACTATCTTAAAAATGTGATATTTCTCAACATGGGACCTATGTGATCATGACACATCTAGCGTCAACATTTTGGTTGTAGATACAAATATTTTTGAGCTGGAACAAAAAAAAAGCTCTAAAACCACTATAATATATTTGTCTTACCAGTTCAGAGGCAAGCCACAACAATGAGTGAAACATTCAACTTCAATTCCCCGGGAACGAGTCCCGGTATTGCTCTGAACCTTTGTGGAACCAATAGTACCCACGCTCTTTTTCGTCTCTGATCTGTATTTGTTTACAATATCAAATAAGAAATATTAATAAGTGTTAAGTTTGCCTGCATATTTTTATATTAATTTAAATTATTTTTATAGGGGATGTGTTTGATGAGGGTCTGTGGTGTAGTGACGCAGAGTTTAACTCTTACGTGCAGCGCTTCCACAGTCTCTTCCATGTACCGGCTGAGACACAGATTCATGTGGTCGTTGGTAACCATGACATTGGCTTCCACTATGGGTAAATACAGAATTATAAATAAGAAACACATATATACACGACGCATTTATGCGTATATTTTATAAAAGACTACCTAGGAACTCTCAAGGTGTTTGATAAAAAAAACCATTCATTTTCAAAATTAGTTAACATTAGGGAAATATTAGGGAACATAATATGCTGTAGGAATACACATTAAATTATGTAATTTTCCCCTATACTTAGTCTGTTCACAAAACTTTGGCTTGAGCTTTAGGTTTGAGGGGAAGTTCCCATACTAATTTTCCTCCCCTTGTAAAGGTACGTTTTGCTTGGAGCGACAGGTGAGATGTCGCTCAGTGATGGTCGCCGAGCGGCAGTCGTGGGACACTGCTCTTGTGGGTTTTGCATAGTCCTGTTTTGCTTGGAGCTACTATCGCTAGAGCTGCAAGCTGTAGTCGCGAGGTACTGCTCCACGACCAGTCAGGAGCGACAGTAGCTCAGCGACATTTACTTTTCTGGTGGCATTTTCGATATGGCGTTGTCGGCTATCCGCACAATGTCTGTGGTGAAGTTAAGTTTTAGTGCATATGAAGACGACTGAGTAATAGAATAAGTGGCAAAACATCCTGTCGTTTATGATTTAAAGAATATTTCTTTCAAAGACCAAAGAATAAAGGAAACATAGTGTTTTTCCCTTTTCTTGGGGACCGTTAATTGATCCAACAATGATTCATTATCTGACTCCTCACAGAGGAGATATTTTACCATCCTCTTTTGGGTGCACATACCGGTTAGGCTGCACACCTTTTAAGGTTAGGTGCACTGACGATACCACGTCTTGGTGGCGGCAGGAAGCAGTTGTAGCTTCAAGCAAAACAGTCTACCGCCCCGCGACTGCTGCTCGGAACCATCGCACCTGTCGCTCCAAGCATAAACGTACCTTAATATATGTGGCAGCTGATCAACGTTTTGGCGAACATCAGCTGTTGAGTCATTGCTTTAATGGTAGGATCAAGTGGAGGAGATAGATTTCTAATTCTTCCCCTAAAACCGCCTGAATTTTGTGAACGGAGTAGAAAATTAATCCCTTTAAAAAAATAAAAAATTCTTGGACTCAATTTTTATTGAACATGTAAATTTCTGAGGAGAGATTACAAAAGGTTAAAGGTTACAAAAGATTTTTAAGTTAATATATTTTTTCTTTCGACCTGTGCATTTGTAGCTTGTACCTTTATAAAAAAAAACCTTCCTTAGCTGAATAAGCCTAATCACCATGCCATAAGCGTCAGTGGTGGCATATACAACAACTTTGGGAACTACTGAGCTCAATGCCAGAGGTCTCTCGTGCCCAACTAGCCTTGAAAAGTTTTGTACTAAAAAAAGTGTTTAAAAAAAACCAAATTTGGTTACAGGATCAGCCCGTATCTTCAGGAGAGGTTTGCCCAAGCGTTCAATGCGCCTTCTGTGAGGCTGCTAACAGTCGCTGGAAACCACTTTGTACTGATCAACAGCATGGCCATGGAGGGTGACGGCTGTTTCCTCTGTCGCCCTGCAGAACTGCAAGTTAACAAGATTGCATGTAAGATCACTCTCATGATTACTAATTGAGATGGGAACACATCTGAATGTATTACGGGATGTCTGCTGGCCAGACTTTTTACTTAGGGTAACGATTTGACTTTCAGTCTCGGAATTGGAAAGTGTTGATTTAAAAAAATATGATTTTTAAGTCACATACTAGATTTTCTGTCTCAGCTCTGACTCATCATTTTTAGTGGATGACTCGGATTATCTTTAAAGTTTTCATTTAACAATTTATAGCTTGCAGGCAGCACATGGGCTTGATTTGAATGGTTTCTGGGAGGTCGTTTTTAGCTGAATGAATGTAGTTTAGTGATTCCAAAATGTACAGTCCTGTTAGGGTGTGGATATTTAAATTTCAAAAAAGGTTTTTGCATGAACTACGTGGATGAGAGTTGGTCACAATTTGGATAAAGTGTTTGTAGCCTGAATATTGATTCTACTCCGTTAGCCTGACCTCATAAGATTATAGGCTACCATAGTCATATCATATCCATCAGGGAATAAAACTTATCCATCTCTCAATGTCGTCTACTGGGTAACACACGTATAACAGGGACGAACACATTACGAATATACAAAACACAACATAACGAGAACTAGGCTTAAGTTCTAATCCTGGATAAGTTTTAAAGATGGATATGACTTAACAAAAGCCGAAACCTAGGCCATCCACTACAAAGAATGAGTTAGAGCCGAGACGGGAAATCTGGTGTGTATATTATATCAAACAGCCCTTGTGGCCAATGACAGTGAATAATATAATTTACTTTAATTGATTTATAAAATACTTAACATTATCTCCTGCGATTGTAATGGAATCTTGAATGTCTCCTGTGATCACAGCAAAATCGGGAACATCTGCAGTCGTAGAGACATCATTATTGTTTTATGAATAAGAGTTCCTTATAATCTAAGGGGCTATAGAAGAGCGATGAAAAAAATAAGGAGTCTTGCCAACCGTCCATTTTCTGGTTCGTTTTGGCGCCGTATACTAAGAGTTTTCATTATAAATTACATACGGTACTCAAGAAAAAAAGGATGTGTACGAATAGTCATTAAACATATTGTGTGAAACGTTAAAAAATGTTTAATATGTTTTCTTAATTTTTATATCGCAATTTTTATGATTTCAGCAAGGTTGCTGTGTGCCAAAGGTGTGGGAAAATGTCGGAAAGGAATGGGGCTCAAACAATACAGCAGACCGATTCTTTTACAGGTAAAGTAATTTATATATTTACACACGCTCGTGATGTTTTATTGTAGACATTTACCAACTTAAAAAAGGGGTTATTAAACCATTGTTAAACAATCTCAATGATTTTTGTGTCTTTGAAATAGTGACTGAATAACTTAACATGAAGTTTTATCTGTAAAAAAATTCAAAGGGTGCCCTAGAAGAAGGGAAATCCAAAATATTATTGAATTGTTTGTAACCAATTGAAATTTTTATCTAAGATGGCATTGAACCAACTGGTTTTGAAAGTGATATTTAAATAGCTGGTTGTAAGCTGTAGTTCCAATTTCATAACCAAAGGCTGCTATGCATCAATTTTTAGATTACATTAAATAATTGTCAAACTTATTTCAGCATTTTCCAATGTACCGAGAGTCGGACGCTGAGTGCAACGAGCCAGACGAAGCTCCAGAAGACGAAAAGGCAAACAAGTTCAAGGAACGATGGGACTGCTTATCACAAGAGAGTTCTGAAATGGTCAGTCTTCTGTAATGTTGATATCTGTCTTATTAATGTTACTGAAATAGGATTCACTCAAGCATTGCTATGTATATCTGTAATGATAAAACACTTTTAAGTTCCAGCAACTCAATGCAACGTTGAGAGTTTTACAAAATGCCTTGATACCTGGGGAAAAGGGCCAAAAATTAAAACAGAGACATAATCTTGGCATTTTAACAGAGCCATTTTCCTTTAATTTCTCTTATGCACTAAATTCATAGTGTCATAACATTAAAATACAAAAATTTAACTTAAACATAGACATAGACATAGACATATTTTATTCATGAATTGGGTACAAATTATACAATGTACATCTCAATCGTCAAATACATTATATGGTCTAGTAGCATTTAAATCAAAACGAAAAATAATTAGTTAAATCTATTTTATTCTAAAGATTTAAACAAATAAGTCAAATAAAAATGCCATGTTGAATGAGATCAGGCAGACAGGAATTCTTCGGTACTGTAAAACTCACCTTCCACCAAATAGGAACTCACTATTCAAAAAACTTTAAGGCTATGGTGCTGACTTATCAGAAAGACTGGCTAGCTCTCCAGGTATACCTATATAGACTTTTGTGTCAGGATCTGTCTGGTTTTGTTGAAACTTAGGTACAAATTATTTAAAAGCTCATCAAGAAATCCAGAATATCAGGTCATGGGGGGCCTAATATGTAAGACACAAGTAACAGTCCAACTTTTTCGAAAGTTAAGTGATACAGTAAGTCTCTGATTAATTGAAATTGAGACAACAAGGCTTTAAGTAGTCTTAGTCTAGTAGATAAATACCACTCTAACAGGTTTGCAAGAAATTGCCAAGGAAATATATTGAGGCCATATTGATATAAAGCTGAATGTAGCTTTGTGTTTGTTACAGTTATTGGACAGTCTGAACCCACGGGTGATCATGACGGGTCACACCCACCACGGATGTCACGTAGAACACAGAGACAACAAGGCTCACGAGTACACGATACCTTCCTTCAGCTGGCGGAACAAGGACAACCCCAGCTTCATCTTGGTAAAAACTAACAACTCAAAATTGAAATAGACTCTGAAATATAAAGCTAAGAAGGATCTGAACTTTTGAGAAAACCATAGGCCGCACACTTATCACCCACATACTGAATGAAAAATCTTGATATGAAACTTTTAACTTACTTGATAAAATCAAATTTTAGCTCCTAAACTTTCTCTTAAGGGTAGGAACCTCAATTAAAGGGCTGTATTTAATCACATATAAAATATTGAAGAATGAAGATCTGTTAGATTTGTTTTTCTTTCAGTTTGTTTGTTTTCTTTACATTGAGATAACCTTTTGATTCAACCAGCAGTTTGCATTGGGCTGGTAACCGCGTACCGAACCGATTTTGTGAGTGAGCGATTTTGAAAGTGAGCACCGAGGTACAAATAATGAATAGTAACGACCTTAAATTTTCTGTACCGCAGACCTCTACTAAATAACCACTTTGCTTTTCTTTAAATATTCTGACAATTAAGTAGTTCAAGACACATTAAAAGTAGGTAGTATTATCATTCTACCAATACCTGTTATTTAATAATTACTGACAATTGACAATAATCTTTATTTGTAATTTCATTGAGAAATACATCAGGGTCGAAATGGATGGAATAGATAGTTGTTCTTGCTTTATAATAATTATATGTTTTCTTTGGTTTTCAATTATCTTCTTAGGTAAAAAATCCTTGAGTACACTGGTTGATTTGCGAGCTAGTTGCAAAGTTCCTTTTTGGTTTTTTATTGATAGGTTTTTCATGTGTAGGAAAATAGTAGGAATGATTGTTAGTTCATGAATGTAGAGTGCTGGTACAGTGAATGATTAATGTAGAATGAATTAATGATATTTATTGGCACAGAGGATTGCAGGATTTTTGTACAGGTGCTTTGTCATGAATAAAATAATTGTCCTTATGCAAGTCGTCTTCTAGGTTAAATACATTTAAAAATTGTAAAAAATAGACTATGCTTGTACATAAGAATAAAATTCAACAGTTGTATATAACAGAGGAAAAATTCAACAGTAATTAACTATCACAGTTAACATCTTGAGGGATTTGAGAGCTCCTCTACAACTTTCTGTGGGGCCAAGCCCAGAAAGTACCCTAATAGCCTTCTTCTGAGCCAACAGGATTTTATTTAGGTTGTCAGAGGTGCCACCCCAACAAATCAGGCCCCGAACCTTAAGTGTGATTCCACCATGGCTACTTTAGCTGATTCTATTCCTTCCATCTGGGGAGCGAGCTGGTCTAGTGGTTAGGGTGTGGGACTTTGGTCCCCGAGGTCCTGGGTTCAACCAATGGTTCAACAATGGATTTTATCTTAAGTGATAATGCCGCAACCCGTAGGTCTAGCCTGAAGTGATGTGAAAAACAATCCCGGGCTCGTGCCTAGCGTCCTAAGAAAAAAATTCCTTTCATCCACATCATCTTCTTTACTGAAGATAAGAAACCTTTAGGTAAATAGATCATAGACCAGAAGAATTTCCATACTAAAGAACTACTATCAGGTATTTTTTGTGTTACTAACAACTTCTTATTCTTGTTAGGCTGTGTTTTCACCCAACAACTACGCTATCAGCAAGTGTCACATGCCCAGAGAAACTACAGTCATCAAGTTGTACCTGTTTGGAGTTCCTCTCATCATCATATACGGATTCTTCTCTTACAGACGCCACTGCCGAAGACCCAGGTTGTTTAAGACTCATTAGACAAGAAATTTTACAAGAAAGAGTTTTTAGACTGTCAAGACATATTTTAAGGTACAGACTTTAAACACTCATTGTATTTTGAAGAATATTTGGATAGGTGAGCTACTTATGAAAAAAAATACTGCCCTGAGGTGTTAGTAGACCTGAACAAAAAACCAAAGATTTACCTTTTTAGGACTTGAGATTTCATACAAATGACTGATCGTAAGCAGCTTTTTTCCTTTACGTGTTTTATTTTACTAGAGAATTATTGTCTCTAATTTTTAAGTTCTTGTTTGATAAAAATATTCTTAGGTTGTGGTTTTTTGTTTAATTTATCACTAGTGGAATGTTTACCGGTACAGTATTCATAACTTATTTTAGTTAGTAATTTTTACCGTAGAATTTTCATGGTAAAACAACGTGTACAACATGACATCACGTAAAGTTGCATTTCAGTAACCTTGAAGTGCATAGTAGTATTTTTTTTGTAGACACTATGTTATGTCTTGCTTACTGTGTTTTTCTTTTTCTGTTAGAAGAAAAGATTTTACCCAAAACAAACATTCGTTTATGTTTAAAAATTGGAAAAAAACTAAGAAGCCAAAAAAGTTGCAATTTGGAAACAAATTATCTGAGGGCTAAAGTTACAACCACACTTGGCGACCTTGAGACATAAAAACGTGGGTAACATTCATTGAAATAAACACGGCCACATCAAGTTAACTGTGACCTGCAACCGCTTGCCACAGCCAAACTAACGCTTTCGAGAACGTCACGTCGCCGCAACAGATAGGCTCCACCATGTTATATTACGGCACTAGTCACACTCAGTGTCAAATCATTCCTGCACTGTTTTACGGTCTATATTGTTCAGTTTAGGTTTGACAGTAGTGCACAGTTGGAAACTATGCTGTTTAATACACATTTTTTATTAACACAATTAGACACTTGTATTAAATGTAACTCTACAAATATTTAGTATCTTGGGCCAAAAAGGGACACCAAGTTTTGATTCCAAAACTTGGCATCCCTTGCAAACAGGCTGTGAATAAAAAAAAAGCTGCGGCGACCTGGTTTCAAAGGGTCATGTCACTAAGTGTGGTTGTAACCGAAAGGGAAGAAAAAGGGAGAATGTATCAATTAACTTGTTGATAATTTCATATTAATCCCAGTGAACTTCAACTGGCTTTTAGCGAAATCTTTTGTTTGCCCACTTCTTAGAAAAAGCCTTTAGGAATCAGAAAAAAACTAATTTTATTGGATCATTTATGCATTGTTTAAAGTGGGTTCATTTTCAAACTCGTGAGTTTAACCTTTTTTGAGGTTTAGGGCTTCTATAAGCAGTTGTACAAATTTAAGTCCACTACTTAACTTGAAGTAATTTAGCATTTGCTACGAGTATCATGTGATTTAAAGTCTAGCCTTGTGACACAGTTGTCAGTGAAACTTATTTTTACAATTAGAAAGTATGTTACAATAACCTAGAAATGGTGCAGCCCTGAGAAAAAATGGAATAATCTCTTGATCTGTACGAAGCGGAAAAAAGTAGATGTATAGTAACAAGTTTTTAAACAAGGTTCTTTTTTTCATGCAGGTTTATTTTTCAAATAGTAGAAATTTGAAATCACTACTTTTTAATTGTATCCTACTAATTTATATCCCACCATAGAAGTACAAAATCAGAGTTTTGTAGAAAGAAAACTCAAAACATAAGACTCATCATATATTTTTAAAGCACCTCTTTTTATTCAATAAGAAACTTTAACACTGTTACTGTAGCTCAATAACTATTGGAGAACGGTAAAAAAATATTTTTGTCTATATATCTTCAGAGTTGTATTTAAATCGCTAAGTGGTGTGTGTAGTTATTTGTAAATAACAAAGCTTCTGTCTGGCTGCTACTGAGAAACATTTTGTCTAGATAGGCTATTTTAACTTATTACTCATTCAATGTATGGTATTTGTAATATGTGATACTAGGCTGTGCTACTTCCCGTTCTTGTTTTTTCTTATAATCCGATTCACTTTTGATATATGTGAATGCTTACGCCTCTCAAAATGACATTAGTTTTTTAGTTGGACGTTGTAAGGGGTATGTTAGTCCAGTAAAGTTTCTATTGTTTTGTTTAGTTTATTTTCTTGTTATATACTGTTATAAAAAGTTTTAGGCCCATTTTAAATCAAAGAGTTTTTAAGTAAGTTTTGTCCGTGTATCCTTTCATCAATCATCTCACTAAAATCTTCAAAGACTAAAAGGACTAAAAGTAGTCAAAGAAATGACGCTACAGCTGCTAGTTTCAACAGATTTATGATGGCACTGTGATTAACCCATCGTTTATTCATCGCTTGTGTGTTGTTATTGAGTTGCACCTCTAAATACATGTTTTTTACTTTTCAAATCCTTATTTGGCACTGGAAAATTGATTTGAAGGAAGCAGTAGGATAACTAGGCAGTTTTATCAATTAGTTTAAAACGTTTAAGGGCTAAGAGTGCTTGGAATCGTTTGCTACTGTTGGTACTGTTAACAAAGGAGGTTTTTGAGCTTTAACTTGTGTTCTAAATCCTTAGTTGAACTTTTGAAAACTTATATTTTAAGTTGCACTATCATAAGACATACTGTAATTTATGCTACTTCCTTAAAATGTACTCCCTTGTACATATAACAAGGTTTATTTTTAAGACAATTTGCTTAACTCTTTGTATTAGTTTATTAAGAAGAAATTCAAACCTAGATTTATTGGTAAGGCCATAGAGAAATATAATGAATATGGACTGTCAAAGGAAGGTTCCGCGATGTACCGCTAGGTTTGCCGTGTAGTTAAGCACTGCAGGTAAAGAGCCGTATGCTACCAGCAGACGCTGCAGCGGTGTGCACCGTTACTACATGGCACTCCTAGCGGTGGATGCCGGAACATATGCTAACCGCAGCACTGCTGTGAGTCTATATTTATTCTATTTGTCTATGGTAAGGCTCTCGGGAAAAAAACTTGTACTATAAAGTTTTTAAACATTTAATTACATACAGTCTTGATGATTAATTACTCATCTATAAAAATCAGTGTTGAACCAAAGTTAAGAGCAACAAAAGTCATTACCACCAATTAGAGACATTATTATTATTTATAGTCTGTATGATCCAACCTGTCTCTTGACCCTTTGTCTACCTAGGGCTGGCTCAGCTATTAAACCATTGGTCAGTCACCAGGTGGACTTAGGTTCAGGAGACGGGTTCCATCATACAGACTATATGTTTCACACATCGTGTGGGTAATGGTTTCCTTGAGAGTCCAATAGTGTTACATCATTTCCAGACCCGCTTCGTCAAACAAATTGCTTGGAAGAATTAAATTCACACAAACACAATAGCAGGAAAATTTGTAATCCTACAACTCTTATAGCGATGTTTGCTTGTATGTATGCTTGTGTATGCTTGGACAAATATCTCAAAAACGGCTTTGACGATTTCCTACAAATTTTGTAAGTAATTTAAATCTGGCCTAAAAACGTGTTTACTGCAGCTAAAACTGTTAACATAAATGTAATTAAATGAAGAAATAAAATTTAAAGTCAATATTTTCATTGGCCTTATGGGCTGCCAAGTAACCATGTTGGTTGAAAAAAATAACAAGGTTAAAGTAAACAAAAGACTTGTAAATGTGTTTATAACAAGCTATCCACAGAATACTAGAAAATTATAAAATACAGTTACTATATTGAGCAAAGATTACTCGATATGGGGGTATAATGGAAATAAACTATACCGAACCATGGCTTGGTCCCCAGGTACGATAACATAAAGGCAGCTAAATAAAATTATTTAAACTATATTGTAGCCTTCATTGCAACACTACCAATAATCTAGGGTTGAAATAATGAATAATTCGTCATTTGGTGTTTTTGTGCCTACTATTAAAACTCTGTGTAAATACTAAAAATAAGTAACAATTACATTGTATTATTAAGTGTCTGTGCCAAAATATGGGATCAACCGGTGTTTTATTGTAAAATATCTTTAAAATGTAACTCCAATAAACATATTACTGTTTAGGTGATTTAGTTTTATTACCTAACAAAACTTGTGTTTTTTTCATGATGGATTGGTCTTTGGATTGTCAAAAATAAACAAAGAGTACCTGTTCAGACTCTGAAAAATCTGTTATTCAATTGTAAGTATTAACTACACTCACCGATGGTGTGAGATGATTTACCTTCCACAGGACGTATCTTATACTTTAATTAGTATATTATCGACCAATTGCATTTCTTTCCTCATTCAATCAAATGTATTTAAAAATATTGTCAATGTATTTTAAAATTCTGAAAATTTGGACTAAAAAGGATATTTAAAGAACATTTACATTTTAAACTGAAGATCTACAACCAAGAACCTGCAACTTTATTTTCAATTTGTTGTATCAATGAGTTTTCAAAAGTACATACATACCAACACAAGACTGGGACCGTGGTGTCGTCCTGTAATCCAACTACTTGGAGGTCACGAATTTTGGATATAGGCATGATCTGTGGATGTGATACTCTCTGGTGTGGATTAATGTCTGCACTGTACACTGTACTACTTCAGTGTAAACACGCTAGAAAAAAGTAGGTGTAAAAAATATGCCTGATTTCTTGCGAAAAATTTTGTTGTAAACATCAATATTTTTCAACCAAAAACAAGTATTTAGATTGCTCTAAACTTTTGTTTGAACACGTTTTCCAAACTCTAGTGTAAACGAGACATTAACAAAGCAACTCAGGGCATCTCCCTTCACTCTACATACATCCTTTATTTATTGGGTTAAAATACATCCATCTGCGACCCCATCTTATTGATTATAATATGATAATGGAAAAACTAACTATTTTACCAACACCTAATGGTTTAAAAGGCATTAAAACAACAGTGCACTGAATATTTAGTTTTATACATCCTCTTGAGCTGGAAGGAACATTTCACTTATATACTAACGCTTTATTGCTTGTAAGTATTATTTACTGCACAAAGCGGTAATCACAATTAATTGGTCTAGCTCTTGGAATGTTCTATCTAATCAGTGTTGCTTTCTTCAGTTTCGAAGATGTGCTCGCAGCTTGGTAGCTTGCCCACTAGGTAGTTACTTAGCACAGCCATCATGTGCTCGGAATGGCCAGCGGACAAGAAGGTGAACGTAGCGTCTCGTCCGGCATGCTCCAGAATAATCGATTCTCCTCCAGGGTGCTGGGAAGGGAAAAGAAGAATAATTAACTCTTGTCACGTAGTAGCCAGGATGAGTTGAATAATTAAGACATTGTCAGATAAACGTATTTGTAGCTTAAAAAAACCTATACTCTTAGTGATCAATTATACGGGGAGTATCTAATCTACAAGCGGGCTTTTCGACAAGCAGCTCATAAAGTAGCACAGTGTACTTGCTCAATAGTTGCTAATATGAAAAGGGCCTTTTATAGCATAATGATTCCAAGTGAAATTTGCTTACCAAATGTATAAAGTCGGTGACGTTGTATATCTTGTCGAACAGTATGATCCAGCAGTCGTGGTAGTTGTCGTGAGAGCCCACCTCCTCTAGCGAGTAGCAGGGTAGCGGGCGAGACCGTAGCTTCAGGAACTCTGAGACTTGACGGAACGACTTGGCGACCACGCTGCTGCTCTAGAGACCAAAGAGACTTTAAATCCAGTTGAGTTGATATGTTAAACTTTATACATATTGAATAGTTTTAGAAATGAGATAAGATAGCTGACATCCCCAACTCTATGGCTACTCTGAGTAAACCAGTAGGTCTATTTGGTATTTGTCATGACTCTTCACCAGAAAATTATTTCTTTCTGGATGTTGGTCTGCAGATCTTTTATGGTCCTTGAACTTGGTCTAAAATAAAACTTTTAGCAATTTTTTTATTGGGAAAAAGCTATTACCATCGGTAACACGGAGACCAATGGAATGATTTACGCTTTTATTTTTATGTTCCCAGGCAAAATGCACTATCCGTTCAAATTTGTATATACATATATGTGTCCGTGAACACGATAACTCAATAATTGTGGCCTGATTTTGCTGTGATTATTGGCAAGAATGTGTTGAGCTGGAAAAACTTAATTGAGTTCGCAAACCTTGCTGGTTTGCGTATGGTAGGTATGGTTGGTAAGTCATGAAAACGGGGTTTTATGAAATTTAACATTTTGAAGTTTTACACAATTGTTACCCTTAAAACATTGAAATGCCCAGTTTTTATTACAGCCATCGTCTAAAGCTTAAAAAAACAAAACAATTTTGAGCTGAGTGATTAAAAAAAACTTGCCTAACAATCAAACAAAATGTCACAACCGCCACCGGTTCAATCCTGAGAAAAGTAGCTTTGTTATTTTGATTGCTTAGTTCGAAACTGGACCCAGCTGCCCTTTATCATTGGACTTTAATAAGATCCTGATTCCTGACTGATGAAACAGCTGATCTAGACAGTAAAAAAGCTACACAAATCACTCCATACACTCATCCTTCACTTATATTATTTGGGTTTAAAACATGCACCTAGGTGGCGCCCCCATCTCAATTGACAATAATAATACTGTACTTTGAAGCGTTGTTGTACAATATAAGGTTACAGAGAAAACTCTACATTTATTTAAAATTCCCATGATATTTGTATGAAAAAAAAGAAAACTGTCGTAGTTCACTGTTTTGATCAAATTTGGCAAATTTACTCATTTCATATTTAACATTTGAAATTTGATTTTAAAACCCGGTTTTTCCTTCCCTGTAGCAGCGTTTAAGCGTATGGTACTCGTTAAATCTAATTTGATTTAAACAGAGGAAAATATGACATGTTTATTGAAATATTTGACTAAAGATTTTATCAGACAGATTAAAATCCGCTTAGTCTGCAGATTTGCTGAGGTGGTGTATTTTTGTATGTTTTGTATACACCTAGCTTTCCACCTTCGGTATTTGTAAGGGAACGGTATTCGCATGAGCTCCGCGTCCGGCATTACCCTCGCAAGGAACATGCTGGTACTGTAATCACCTGCCCGGGAGAGTCGCATGAGGTACGATAACTTTTTACTACCAGCAACAAATATGCAGATTAACTATAACGCAACCCATACATACAATGAAACCATGTTTGGGCGCTGTGTTGTTTAAACACAGCTATTTAACATAATTATTTGGTTTTTAAAAGGTGACTTTTTAAAGCTTTCCAATAATTTGTTAGTGGAAGTGCAATGTGACTAGCCCAAAATATTTACACCGCCTAATATTTACTATAACTTTGTTGAGACTTGAGAGCCAACTAAAGAAACTCGTATCTTTTTTAAAAAGAGTTGTTTAAGAGTGACCAGTACATTTTACAAACTTCATCTGACTTTGCACTCCAGCTCATTATACTGTCGTCCAGCTGATTTTATCGTCACTTTTCTGTAAATAGCTTTATGGTCTTCGCAAAGAGCACAGAATCCAAGCTGTTTACTGTGTAGTGTAAAAAAAATGTTAATACCATTATAAGGATCCCTGATTCCATGCTCTTAATCCTACTAATATTATAAATGAGAAAGTTTGGATGTATGGATGTATGGATGTATGTTTGTGACAAGTGAACGCGAAAAATACTGGTCGGATTGGGCTGAAATTTGGCATAATGATAGCTCACATTCCCGATTAACATATAGGCATATTCTTATTTCAAAAATCCTTTCGGGCTCTGCCCCAGTGGCTCTGGACTTTCCCATGTTAACCTTATGAGAAATAGAATTATTGAATCTTAACAGCTGTTTCAATTAAACAAGTTGGTTTTGTTCTATGATGTTCAATAGCATTAAAGTTACAAGGATTACCAACAGGGTGCAGCACTATTATTTCTTTTACATTTATGACAACAGCTAATTTGCAACCAAAAGGTGAGTGAGCGTAGCGAACGAACTTCAACCTGGAGGTGAGTAAGCGTAGCGAACGAGCTCCATCCTAAAGGTGAGTGAGCGTAGCGAACGAGCTCCAACCTAAAGGTGAGTGAGCGTAGCGATCAAACTTCAACCAGGACGTGATTGAGCCATGCGAACGAGATAATTTTGAAAATTAAGAAGTTAAACGGGGCAAAGCCCGCGGGTTACAGCTAGTATGTTATAAATAGTTCAACGTAATAAATATGTCATTCAGTCAGTCAGTGTCAGTTTGTAGAAAAAAAAAACAATTCTCTAAACAGCTGGTTGGTAGTTGATGGATGACAAAAAAACACAAATATGTTCTAATGTCGGTAAAATGTACATGATGAGTAGAAAAGGTGTCCAATTTCGCGCTGAATTGGCTTATGAACGTTTAATATTTTAGGTTAATTTAGGGGTTTAAAAAGCAAAACATATTTTCAAACATTTAGTGGATGCAGAGGAAAATCTCAATCGGTTTAGCATTTCGGGAAGCATAAAAATTACCATTTCCTGTGTCAAAGACAGACATGTCATAAATAGAGAAGAAGAGACGAAACTTTTTTCCGGCTTTCTTAGGCCATGAAATGTAAAATAACCACTGACTTCAGGATTATATGCAATGTACAGACAATAGTTATTTGTGAAACTAGTGAGCAAAGGGGCACTTTGCTGCACATGAGACGAGAAATGTTTACGCACGATCCGTGGCCCCGTAGGCGAGCGTAGAAAGTTTCTCGAGTGCAACAAAGGCAATTTGCGCTCGTGTTACCCATTATAGTTTTTCCTACAGTTACTATAAAGCATAGAAATAATTAGTCATACAAACACTGTGCAACACGATTTTAGGTTATGGGTTAAATCCGAGCGTTGAACGAAATGAGAAACACTGTATCAAATCAACTGATCGTAGTCGTAGTATATATCATTAAGTGCTGCCAACTTACTTTCTAGCGTACATTACGTGCCTGATAAAAGTAAACTGTTTTGTGTTGATTGGTTGGAATACTGGAGTGTGGCAAAAAAATGAGTGTGGCAAAAGTAAGTAAATGCATCAATTAGCTGCTCGGTGTACTATAATCAGTGCAAGGAAGCCCACGTTGTCAGATGACTGTAGGGAAAATATATTACTGTCATTATAAAAGATAGGTATATTAACAACATTTTTTCATAGAGCTGTTTTTGGGAAATTACGGATGGCCGGACTCTTGCTCTCTCATCTGTACCTACAAACTTGTAGTAGTGGTAGAGGCATAATTAATTGATTCTCGATACTTCTAGTCATTGGATTCGATCCACCGCGAACTTCTATGTTGACATTGTCTACATCATCGCGAAAGATATATTTTTTTGCAATCGCGGCTACATAATGATTGCGGTCGCGCAAGGTCGATATTATTGTCAGATTCCCGGATGGAAATTATTCCAGTTGCTCAAGGAAACTATGCTAAAAATGCCCAAACATTTACCAAATTTCCAAACACACTTTTTGTTAACTACAATATCTTGTTACACCAACCGACACAGTTTCACAGAAACAAAAGAGGACATAAAATCTTAAATGTAGCACACATTCGTAAGTGCTCATTTAACTAGACATAAGTTATTTTTAATAGTAAGTTGGCTACAGTTTTCTATTTGTATTGGGATGTTTAATTGTATCCGAAAGTCAATCGAAGCCAATTTAATGATAAAAATACACCTTTAACTAAATGTACTGATATAAATTACTCTCGCGAATTTGTCGAAGACACAATTTTATCGACCAAACCAAACCAGGACAATGTCCTTTAAGCATTAAAAAATACATCCTATTCCTGTAACTGAAATGTCTACTACATCTCAAAATCAAAGCTAACAGTAAATGTATAAAGGGTGATCGCAAGGTGCTTACCGCGAAGAGCATGCTGACTGAAGGCTGTTGGTCGACAGAAGCCCTTGTGGACACTGGTTGGCCAAGTGGACATTACATAACTCCGGTCGACATTCCACCAGATCTGTTTCATCCGACCACAGCACCCTCCATACTTATGTAACGTGGGGGAGGCTAGGTCAACGGTAAATGCATGCAAAATACAGCAGTCAAGGTCATCAATGTGGGAGGGAGAATTTGATGCATATATGGTGTATTTTAAAATTAATTACTTTGTATGGTAAACTAACAATAATTACGGAAGAAACTTCAATGTCCAACATACGACTACAATTGTCAATAGTTTTTGGCTTTTGTAAAAGGTCCACTAAAGAAGGAAGAACTACAGAAAGGTAACATGATCCATTACACCCTCATCCTTCAATCATTTTCGTCTTAACGTTCCCTGATGTATTGGTATCGTACAAATTTTAACTAATCTAATGGAAAATTAGTTGATTATTGGTGGACGATAATGATCAAAATAAATAATTGTGTTAAGTTAATCTTCAGATTGGGATATGGCTGATTCAATCTCGATCATAAACAATTTATCTTGTACCCAGTGCAACATAACTTGTCAGATGTACCGAAATAAAATTATGCTCTCTAAAAGTTTGACGTTCGATGGTGACCTAACTAGGGTTTGGACAGTTTCATGGTAAACAACAAAACGTGCCGTTGAAGTTGGAGAAACCATAACATCAAAGCATAAAGATTTATGCTTCATTCCTTCATTCTTCGCTGCGCTCGATCGTTCTTTAATCGGTTGGTCGCTCTGGTCCAAAGGTTCTATTGTTGACACTCACTACTGTCAAGTAAACGAAATTGTAGTATACTTGATGTATTACTTAAAAGTTTCATAAAAATGTATAGTATGGTAAACCCCCGATACACTGTGGTCAAATCAAATATAACTTGAACTGATATCGATAATATTTTAAAACTGGTAACTATACCCTATACTATCGAAAAAATATTTGTTATTTATTCTGTTTCCCTCAGAATAAATCCTTTCAATGCAATAATAAAATGCATAGCAAAAAGATTTCAGTGAATTATCTCTGGGCCACGCGAATCTAACCCAGTTTGTTTAAGAAGGTCCAGAAATATTTTATTTAGACCAAAGAATGTTTAATGATTTATAAACCCATAAGGACCAAATAGAATAAAGAGAAAAATAATGTCATATGAATTGATTTTTACGATGTAATCCAACAATAAGTTAATTTCAATTGCACTGATTTCATTGGCCACAATCAAACAACACCTTTGTATATTTAATTTTTAACTTTGCATTTAATACAAGTAGGGTATTTAGTTTGTAATTTTAGTGTGGAGAGTAGTCATAATTTTAATGATGTGGGGATTCTACGATTTTATCAGGTGAAATGAATGAAATCATTATTTTTTTCTGAAATAGGAAGCATTAAGTTTGACAAACCTACGATGGAACGATTGCTTAAGCGTTGATGTAGAAACGCGGGGTAACTAATAGGAAGTTTTGAAACTTAAGTAAATATACATGTTGGTTTTCAAGGGTCTGATAAAATGTTTCTTGGTGGAATAGTTGCATTTATTGTACTTTGGCCTAGTACTGGGTTATAAGTAGCCTATGGGGTCGACATGTGTAAAGTATTAAAACATCGTCTTGATTTCCTGACAATAAACCTTCTTGTTTATTGCCAAGTAAAATAAATCAAATATTCATTCCAAATAGTTTTATTCAAATTTTCTCAGAATTCTTGATTGTTTGTACTAATGCACTTGTCGAAATGTTACTGAATAAATTAAAATTGTACTCAAATTTTCTTTATTGTTTTGTAGAGTGCAGACGTAATTATGATAAACAATTTTAATATAATCGATGTTTAGCTGATGTACAGGGTGGTTACAAATGAAATAGACACTTTGTATCTATATATATATAAGGCAAAGCCCTCACTGACTCACTCACTCACTCATCACTAATTCTCCCACTTCCCATTTACCTAGAAGGCTGAAATTCGGTACACCGATTCTTTGGGCATTAAATAGGAAAACTAAATAGTTTTTATTCTGATCGAGCTTTCGGGCTCCGCCCCAGTGGCTCTGGATTTTCTCATGTTAACCTTATGAGTACTCATATTTAAATGGAATTAAAGAATCTTAACAGCTGTTTCAATTAAACAAGTTGGTTCTGTTCTATGATGTTCAATAGCATTAAAGTTACAAGGATTACCAACAGGGTGCAGCACTATTATTTTTTTAAATTTATGACACAGCTAATTTGCAACCAAAAGGTGAGTGAGCGTAGCGAAAGAACTTCAACCTGGAGGCGAGTTAGCATAGCGAACGAGTTAACCTGATGGCAAGTGAGCGCAGCGAACGAGCTCCAACCTAAAGGTGAGTGAGCGTAGCGAACGAACTTCAACCAGGACGTGATCAAGCCATGCGAACGAGCTCATCTTGAAAATTAAGAAGTTAAACGGGGCAAAGCCCGCGGGTACAGCTAGTTTAATATACAGTTTGTCAATTTCATTTGTAATCACCCTACCTATATTATTTTGAAGGTAAAACAAAACACATGTGACAATAAACGGTTTACAAAATAAACTTGAAGAATGGTATTGAGACAATATTGTTGTTGTGAGGGGATGAAGAGCAGATTTTTTTGTAAAAAGTTAGAGTCAAGATGATACTATAGAGGCCAATACACAATGAGGAATTATTTATCCTATCGAAATAAGTTTGATTGCTGTGGAGGGGATATCGATGCGGAGAGGGTGGTGGGCGGAGGGTGGCCCCGCACAGTGCTGCGGCGGCGACGTAGCGGCGTCGAGGCGAACTAGCATCAGAAATAGTCAGCAAGCCGGAGCTAGGAATGTGTTGACCAGCAGCCAACATCGGTGGGGATGGCCGCAGACGGATGTTGGCGATAGTGAGGAATGGTCAGCTGATACTTCCAGTGGTAGTGCGCGAGTGATGTGATGAACCCGGGGGCCTCCACAGCGTCCCAGAGCCCGGCGTCTACCGGGGCGACGGGCACGGCGACCGCGGCCGCCGCCACCCAGGTCAACGGGGGTAGGTTCGACTTCGACGACGGGGGCACCTACTGCGGCGGCTGGGAGGACGGCAAGGCACACGGCCACGGGGTGTGCACGGGCCCCAAGGGTCAAGGCGCGTACAGCGGCTCATGGCACTACGGCTTCGAGGTCTCCGGGGTATACACATGGCCCAGGTAAAGACTTAGCTCTAAAAATACGCGGGACGAGTCCATTGTGGATAAATAATCGACATGTCCCTTCGCCCGATTTGGATTTGGGCTCAGCTGGTCCGATTACGATTAGGTTATGTGGCATCAATATGTCGAAGATATCTAGTAAACAATGTTAGAATCCTGTAGTATGTGAGTCAGTTTTCCTAAAAGTCCTATCACAAGTAAAAAATCATATTGTTAATTACTTACAAATTCTTACCCAATTTTAATTACTGAAAAAATAAATATTACCAACATAAATTCAAACTAACGATAGATGAAAAATTCACTAATACAAGCGCTAACGTCGTTAAAATAGGCACTTTATCATGTGGCATTGCTTGGACCCAAATCTCGTTGTTTGTAAAGCACGAGCTCCCTAACCACAATTTGACAAACACACACACACACACACATACACAATAATTTTGGGAGGCGTAAAAACACAAGAGGAGAGAAGCGCCTCGCCGGGCGTCCGCTTATTTCTCTCGCCTATTGTAACCGATAGTTTATTTTTAGATGGCTCGTCCTCAAATAATACAGCTTTATACTAATCCCACATCAGTGTATACTTTATACGCGGTGTAAAACGTCAAACACATTTTCAAGTGTGAAAGTCGAAAATTTATTGTTAATTTTTGGAAAAAATAAATTATGTTGTTTGTATACAAGCGGAAAACGTTGGGAGAAAATTCCATTCCTAATAATTTAGATGAATAAAAGTAGGTATCCCTCTAATTATGAATAGATTCTCTTTACTCACAAATAGTTAATTCTCCGATCAGTTGTTTTCTTTTAACGTGGTAGAAGTAGGAGCTGCTAAAGCGACTGGCTCTGACATGCTTATGAAAATAACCAACCTCCCTCCAGCTTAAACATAACCTCGAAAATCACTGATTACTGATCGATAGCTTTACCTTCGAGAGTGTTTACTAAGGAATGTCATCCAGTGCAAGGATCTCTTCTGACATGTTGATGCCATTTATTTATTGCTGTTACAATATAAAACATACCACAACCAATGGATTGCCCTGCTGGTTATTTTAGAGTGGATCAAAAATGGAATTTTAGTTGTATGTCAAAACTAGACTTTGCATATTAAAATATTTTATCAACTGAATGTTAATGCTTATCAGGTTCTTACCCTCAAAATTCCACTGCATTTAACCTTTGACACACACATTTCAGATGATTGTCAACATACAACAAACGTTCCTCTCTTGCAGACCTTTAGAGACTAGTTCTGACTGGAGGTTTATAAACTGTTTACAATTTATTAAAAAATAAATCTGGGTCTAGTATCAAAAAGCTGCTCACTTCTCAGGTTTGAACCAGTGACCTTTTGACTACCAAGCGAGCAATTTATCCACTCAGAACCCAGACAAAATTTCAATTAACAAACGAACAGTACAGTTTAGGCATAAATTCTCAGATACTTTACTACTATCTCATCTACTCTTTACTACTACTACTATGTAGCCTGGACTACATTAAATCCTTAACTCGAGTTCTTGAACTATTTTTAAAAGTATATACACCTCGTTATAGCATTTTCCTAAGTAGGAATATTTCCAAATTTCGTTATTCCACTTTTTTATTACATACACCTTTTGAATTAGGCTAAAACCAGTGCGTAACACTACTAGCTTTGACATGTTTGCCCGCCAGGCTGGAACAAATTTGAGCCGATATGCGTAAAGAGCCCTCGCTCTTTTGACGCCATTAACCAACTTTGTGTTACCGTGATTTTCCAATGTTATGATCATACAGCTCTTTGTTTGCCAAGTTTCTCAGAAGACAACAGCAATGAATACTGATTAAAATAGTTCAGTAATTGTTAATAACATGTCCTGCGCCGTCTAATTAAGTGAAAAATCGGGAAGTATATAGCTGGCAATAAAGGGTTTTATTTGAATAATTTTCCTATTGATTTATTCCGGCGGACAACCACTAATGTATATAACTAGTGTACCTGTTGTTCGAATTCGAGCAATGGCTAAGTATTACAGGCGTTATTTTAAACAGAATAACAGTCATTATTTATGACAAGTGCGCCGGTTGCTCGAATTCGAGCAATTGCAAAGTATTACAGCCGTTATTTCAAAACGAATAACAGTAATAATTTCAAATGACTTAAAAGAGTCAACTCAAAGATAATACAATCACTCCACTCCAGCTATCGAAACTGAAAACGAACTCACTCTGAAAACGAACGTGTGTGTGTGTATGTGTGTATCATGTGTTTACTATGAACAGCTGTAATTAATACAAATTATTCGTCTGTTTAAGTAAACAAAATCTGTTCTTCAAAGAAATACATTGGGATTTTGATGGCCTGTGGGGCAAAGCCCGAGGAATTTTATTACAGCAATTGGTGAAAGGGGGAGTCTCCACAAAAAATACTTAATTTTGACACATCGTTTCTAAAAATCCGTCCATTATTAACAGAGGAGTGGTGTTTCGTAGAAATCACCTTCACGTATTATGAATTATGAATGAGTCAGTGGTATTTGAGCTTTATATATATATATAAGGATATTTACAAGACTTGATTATCACCAGCCAAGGATATATTTACTTCGATCCAAGCAATTTTAATTCCTTCTCCTGCCACATCGACCAATGTATTTAATCATCCTGTACTTATTTGCTAATTGATTAACTTCTGGCGTAGTTTTGCCTTGGCCGTATCAATCACATAAAGTTGTGCATTTTAAGGCCGGGATGGACCATAATTGTAGTGAATTTGACCACAAATCTTAAACATTTGCTGAACCACATCCATAACCTAGTCCGGCTTGGTTGGCAACAAATTATGCAAATGAGATGAGATGTAAAGGCACTGTTTATATGCATTATATGCATTGTTCGACCTAGCTAGATATGTACATCAAAGTAAAAACCCTTCCCCCCTTTTTAATACATGAACTGCCATTAATTCACCTACTGCACCAAACCATAGATTAAACCTACTCCATGCATAATCTATTCCAAAACTTGGAACAAAGCTCACATCCTCAACGTGCTCATCTACATATGATTATTGAAAGTAGACCAAAAAAGCAAGTGCAAACCCCTACAATAAATATAAGCTAACCCAATAAGGAATAGTTAAATCTGTTCCTTTGAAATTGATAAATCCAACTGATTTTATAATATAAAATTTTTAGTGCTTAATGCTTAAGCATAGATTTATGAACACAAAATTTAAAACATTTCATAAATTCATCATTTTGTTCAAACTCTAAAAAGGTTGCGATGCAGTGAAGAATCAATTTAAAAATCATAAATAACTAGTGTACCTGTTGCTCGAATTCGAGCAATTGCGAAGCATTACAGGCGACACAAAGATTATGGAAATACTCACGATCTACAAAACAGTTAGATATAATCAAAATCTTTTGTAAATATCTTATCTTTTTTCAAAAATCTGATCTTGTTTTTTTAGTGTTTTTAGTGTAAAAAAACATCATTTCTATTTCTTCTACTTGGTTGTGTTCTATGACTTTTTCTATGTTTCCATTGTTTGCAAATCGGTTATTTCAATGATTGCTCAATAAATGTAGCACAGTGAAAGAAGAGAAAAGAATTTATTTACAAAAATAAATACCTCTGCCTTAAAAAATAAGGTTGCCAATGACACAGAAAAATAGTACACATAAAATATCGAAGGATTATACAGCTATAAGAATGATTAATTTTGATGTTTGCCATATAGATGATTTCTCATTATGGCCAATGAACCTCTTAATGTTTCATGAATTCAGTTTTATTTTTAGCCTATATCAAATTGTCCAGGATTTATCGCTCTTTTCCATTGTAATAATTACACCAACCCAAGTTTCGTCTACAGATGCAATATGCCAAAGAATATCACCTACGTACAATCTCCAAGAAGTGGTAAAAAAGGCAGAAACCAACCCATACAATAGATATAAGTTAACTCCATAAGAAATAATTTTAAAAGTTACTTTGATATTAGGATTTTCCACTGATTTGGTAATAGAACATTATATTGCGAAACATGACACGATACGGAAGAAAATCAATTTTAAAATCAGAAAAATCCATTGCAAATACTGTACTTCATTTTGACAAATTCAATAAATCACAATTTAAATATTAACAGCTGTTGCATTAAAAAGTAGTGTAGAATTATGCATATGGTCGTAATGTAAAGAAATCTGAAGAGGCAACTTTAAAGGCTTCTGGGGCAGAGCTCCAAGGGTATTTAACTCTTTCCTCTTTTGATGGCTCACCTACAGACCAAGACCTTTCTTTAGAGACCCCTACCAAGTTTCTATGCCCAGCCGTTCTCTGAAATTAGCTGTGAGAAAACCCCATTTTTCCTCCATAAGAATAACATGGGATGGGAATTTAAAGGCCACTGGGGCAGAGTCCCAAGGGAATTTACCACGTTTATCTTTAGATGGCTCATCTACAGACCAAGACCTTTCTTTAGAGACCCCTACGAAGTTTCAACGCCCAGCCGTTTTCTCAAATTAGCTGTCACAAAGAAAAACCGTTTCAAATTAATATATAGATTAGATTTAGCAAATGCTTAGGTTTGCTGCTACGGGAAAGGTAAAAAGTGTTTGTTGACCATACGTCAATAGTACAGGATGAAATAAATAAATTTGCTAAATTTTAACAACATATATCCATAAACAAGTGAACTACAACAGTTTTCATTTTCTCCATAAAAATAACATAGAAATTTTTAATTTACGCTTTTTTTTAAATTTTCTCAGTAACCATTAGGCATACAACAGCGCTTCAATATAGGCTACAAAATAATTTTTTTTTTTTTTTAAGCTCTACAAAACGGTTTAGAAAGAAATTGCAAAATTTTTTGTTTTTAGGGTCAAAAATGGGAAAACCCCATTTTTACCCCATACAACCACCCGTAAACCCCCGTTCCCATAGTCCGATTATGCTGGTTCGCGAACTCGTTCGAATAAACGTAGGTTTTCACGTTTGTA